GATTATTACCCACGGAAAAGCAATCCACCAATTGATTAACAACCGGGTTCCTACTTACTGCTAGTTGGACAGAGGTGTGTGGAGTAAGGAAACTTGCCCAAGGTTTCACCCTGCTGGGAATCGAACCCAGGTCTCTCACTCTAACCAATGAGCTACAGGACTAGTGGTAAACGTGTTGCACTGATGGAGATGTTAAACTGCAAATCTATTAAAATGCTCGCCTGTCAATCAGAAGTTGCTGCACTAAGTCCAACTTCTGAAATGGGCATTTCGCCCACAAATATACAGTCAGTTCACTTTACAGTCTATTCTGTGAAGCGCTTTGAGACGTCTTGAAGACGTGAAAACCACTATATCAAATGCAAGGATTATTATTATTTCACTAACAAATTCATTTAAAATAACATGTTTTTGAAAAAAGTGTTTTGCCTTCCAATGTTTTGGTGGACACAATGAGCATGTCTATGCCATATTTGTAATGCATATGATCCAAGTGACATGAAGACAATGAGGTCAGATTGTCCCATGCAAAGGCCACAGGTGTTAAAAAAGGGGGTGGAAGAATCACAGGATGAGGGCAGTGCAGGAACAACTCCATCTCCAGTTAAGGTTTAGAGACCAAACTGTTGATAGACAGAGCCTCGGGTCATGTGTGTTCCTGATCTACAGGGCGGATCTCTGCCCCAGGAACTCAATTGAAGTTAGAGGCGTGGTTTCATCAGACTTTTAGATGTTTAGTTGGCAGGTTTTTAAATATGTATCCATAAACTGCATCCATCAGATCTGCTTGCCAACCACGTTCGAGGGTCCATGGAGTAAGTATTTTTCATCCCATTTTTGCGTATTTTAGGGATAGTGAACTGTTATGTGAATTAACAAATGTAGGTAGAGCATTTCTGTCAAATAACAAGGATAAACTCCTGTGAAAGAGATGTTGCACGTGTGACTTTTAATATATATATATTTATTATTATTTCCAGCAGGTGCATACTGGAACACTCCTGAATTTTTCAGTGCCTACATTATTAAAATGCATCCCAAAATAATAATTTTGTGCACATTATTAAAATGCACCAAAAAACATTTTTAAAAAAAGATATTTTTATCAAGATGCCTTTTTTTGTTCCAATTCTCTCCTTGTCTTCCCCTTTTACTGAGGGATTAAAATCCGACAGTGTTTTTTTTAAAAAAATCTGCTTTCCAGGTGTGCTTTAGTACAGACCACAGTCTAAGGATTTTTACGATTAAAAGTCCGACGTAAAATACAATGAAAACATTTTGCAATGCTGTCTGTTTGTCTGTCTGTCTGTCAGCTTTTATGAATCATCTGCATCATTGGCATGGAATGAAATAGCTCTGGATGCGGTCAGGACATAGTGGACGTGTTTGAAGGGTTGAATGTAACTCGTGTCTTCTCAATTGTAGGAGTGATTGGAGAATGAAGTGCTGAAAGATCATCTACTTCCTTACCTGGGGCTTCAATTCCAGGTAAGTGCTGCAAAAGTGCTGAACATTTCAGTGGCTTTGTGCACATTATTAAAATGCACAAGCCAAAGAGAATCATTGGAATCTCCTTGAACTGACTTTACAGTTCAGGGTGTGTATAATTATCCCAATAAGATTTAAACTTGTGGGGGTAAATGCTATTTGTGTCATTTTGCTTGTAAATTGTGAATATTCGTGCCTTTGTATAGCCATGTTGTGGAGTCTTGTGTCGTATTGGTTAGAGCACTCGCCTCGCAAGCGAGAGGACCTGGGTTCGATTCCTGGGCAGGGCAAAACCTTAAGCAAGTTTTTTTTCGTAGCAGTAAGTAGGAACCCTGTTTTAGTCGATTGGCGGAAGGCTATCCGGGGGTTAATAAGCCCTTGAAAAAAAGTAATAATTTGATTACTCAAACCACAACCATTCGTGGGACACTGCTGGGTGCAATTGGCTGTTCCGTTTTGCCCACAATGTATACACTCAATTCACTTTACAATATATTCTTTGAAGGGCTTTGGGACATCTTGATGATGAGATAAGGTGCTATATCAAATGCAAAGATTATTACCTTTATTATTCTTAGGTGTTCTGTGGTTTTAATAACGTTTTAAATGTTCACACCGATCTTTTATAATTCTGTTCTAACACTCTGCAGCACCTGAGTAGGTTGTATCAAAAGGCTTTGGAAACCATATCATTTCCAAACTGCAAAGAGATCTATTGTTCCAAAGCAGGGATAACAATAATCTTCAGGATGAAAATCTATCACAGAATATATTTACTGAAAAAGTTAACTTTAAAAAGTACCTGTGCTCCAGGAAAAATGTTGGCTGTAGTATTAAAATTCACCTGCAAAATACAGTCACTAGACTTTACTGTAAATCCTGTGAATCACTTTGAGATGTCCTCCTGATGTGGAAAGGCTGTATATTAAATGTCAGGATTATTATTAGATTATAAAATGATTTCAAGAATGATGTGCGGATAGTAATTTGCTAATGCAGAAAATGGAATTTGAGTTTTTTGTGTGAACTTGGGTGAATGCTTAGAGAATTTGAAAAAGTTGTCCAGTCAACCTAACTACAAAAAGTATGACATGTAGTAATACATGTTTGTGTTGCTGTTTTTTTTATTCCAGTTGTATTTTAAGGACTATTCTGGAACTTTTATTGTATTGAGTTATGCATGCTGTTCACATCAGCAGAATAAATCTTATGAATTGGAACTGCAACTTTTTGAGTAGCATATACCTTTTCCAGTAGCACGCCTTTTACTGAATCAAACATAATCCTTGATAATTACTACGCTATCAAGCTAATCTCCCAATCTGTATTAGAAGCTACAAGTGTTATGATTTGCCCGAATCTTCAGCAAATTGAACCAAGAACGAGTTCAGAAGCATTAAAGCCACTCTAGAAATATATAAATGTGCAAGAGCACAAATACTAGAAAATAGGAAAATTGAAGACATTTAACTTAAATCCTACAAAAAAGTCCAATAATCAACAAATTCTCTGTCCCTTCTTCCAAGAATGTCTAGAAAATTGTGAACTGGTATACTGTACCTGTCAAATATTTTAAAACTACACAGAGAGACTGTATTACTAACCAACCACAGCTTGGATTCAAAGTTGTACTCCCTTAATTGCAAAAACATCTCAAAGTCACAACTCCCTGGGAATAAAGAGTGCTAAATTGATTTTAAAAAAACTTTGATAAAAAGAGCTGCTTCCAGCTACACTGTCCATCTGTCCAGAGACATATAGTTATGTGTGAAAGCAGCAATAGCTGAAATGAAAGAATGTTTTATGTAAAGTAACAGATTCACAGTCCTCCCTGCTGTCTAATCCACCTTGATGGTTTCTTGAACCGTAGCCTATAGCTTATTAATGCCAAGTCCAAGTATTCATATATTAACACTGATATTAAATGGTATTAAATTTCAGAAAATATTGAATTTGAACAGGAAAACAACACTATTTCAAACCCTACTTATTAAGTTAGAGTTTTTATTACAATATCATAAGACAATTTGCATAACAAAAAAATGCCTACAGAATTTGATATATATTTTAATAAAACATGTTTTATTTTGTTTATAGAGAATTGCATGGGATTTAGACCCAAATGTGTTATACAAATTATATTAGGCTAATGTAATAAATAAGAAGGAGGAAACTGACGAAAGCAATGTGAATGGATTCCTTCAATTTCTCGATAGTGAAGGAATTGAAGGATATTGTAAGATGGGGCTTTACCTGTTCTTAAAGATGTTTGTTTTTGTGATCTAATTTGTTTTGCTTAGGATTCTTAGCTGTACTTAACACAGAGAGAAGAAACTTTCAAATGCAAGGATTATTATTGTCCCACCAGTCTGATTCAAATAATAATAATAATAATCCTTGGATTTGATATAGCGCTTTTCACGTCTTCTAGATGTCTCAAAGCTCTTCACAGAATATGCTGTAAAATGAATTGACCGTATATTTGTGGGCGAAATGCAGCAGCCAATTGCACACAGCAGTGTCCCGCAAACAATCGTGGATTGAAAATGACCAATTTATTATTGTTTTGTTTTTGGAGGGATTATTATTAAGCATGTAGAGGAGGGAAACTTGCCCAAGGTTTTGCTCTGCCTGGAATTGAACCCAGGTGTCTCACTTGCAAGGTGAGTGCTCTAACCACTGAGCTACAGGACTCCAGATGCATGTCAGAGGAATGAAAGAGCAGTATGCTTACTAACTCCAAATCCCCAAATTGAAGACAGTGGCATGTATTTCAAGAGGACCATTAGAAAGTGCAGCTTAATTGGTGAGTGAATAGAGTTATAACCTAAGGACCAAATGTTCAATGGTTCAAATCCTGATCTGTACTGAGTTTGCTGGGCTTAGTCAGGGATGAGGGAGACTAAATTGTCCATGGATTTCCCAAGGTCTGGGAAGGTAAAATCAATCACATTTTCTGGTGGATCCCTACTCAGAGAGTGTACGTGAGGTTGAAGGAGAGATACATATGGTTATGGTACCCTCTACAGTTGATTTGCCTCTGATGATCATTGTCTTGTAGCTCAGTGGTTAGAGCACTCGCCTCACAAGTAGACTCCTGGCAGGGTGATAACGTTGGGCACGTTTCGTTACTCCACACGCCTCTGTTCACCTATCAGTAAGTAGGAACCTGGTTGTTAGTCGATTGGCGGATTGCTTTTCCGGGGGTTAATAATTTCTTCAAAAAAAATAATAATAATAAATTGGTCACTCAATTCATGACTGTTTGTGGGACACTGCTGTGTGCAATTGGTTGCCGCGTTTTTCCCACAAAATATACAGTCAATTTAATTTGCAGTATATTCTGTGAAGCGCTTTAAGACATCTCGAAGATGTGTTAAGGTGCCTATCGAATGCAAGAAATTTATTATTATTATTGTCACACATGAACAATGCTTACTTGGGGCAGGGAAGCAGATGCTCATTGTCAAGGCTAACACATAAACAATGCCCACGTGGGTAGGGAACCAGAGATGGTGGACCACAGCATAATGAAGCTGGAGAATAAGGAGAAAATGAGAAACCCACAGATTTTTTTAATGAAAGGGTACACTAGGAATGTATTTGGAACCAACCAAATTTGGTTGATATGGTTGATTTTATAATTTGGTGAGTATATGAAATGTTACTGCTCGCAGAAGTAGGGCTTGAAATGTTTAATAAAATTGGATTAACTTGTACCATTTGTATCATTCTTCTATCATGTGTCATACAAACCATTACAGCTTTCAGTACCACTGGGGCTTTTCGGAAATTGATTTAAAATAGCCTGAAGTCAAGGAAAAGTAATTTCCATGTTCTTTTAACTTTCACAAAATATGATGTTTGAACGTACAGCTTCAGGGCAAGGACATAAGTCACAAGAAGTCATACTGAACATTTACACAGCTCTGGCACTACCCACAATGTGCAAATGTGGGCATCATATTACAGTCAAGACATCTTTGCAATGGAAGGGCAAATTGAAGTTAATTTCTCCATACCACCACACAAACTTGCACTTATATGGTGTCTCCATGCAGGGTAGCGTCTTAGAGTGCTTAACAGTGACTCCGACATGGGTGTTGGGAGGTGACAGTAAGCACGGTCGAAAAGGAAGGTTTTCAGGCAGGACTTGAAAAACGGGAGAGGGGGGGGCAAAGCGGAGGGATTGAAAGAAAGTGTTCCATATCTTCCGGATGAAGTGGCTGAAAGTGCGACCTCCACTGACCTCCACGGAGGATGCGAGGGACAAACAGGAGGCCGGTGCCAGTCAAGCGGAGCTGCCAGGTGGTGGAATGGGGAGTGAGGAGGTCGGAGGGACAGATGTATGGATGTATGTTTACTGCATGGGTCTTTCTGTGTGCACTTACCTAATGTGCTATCAGGAATGTTTCACATAATCTACAATTCTATCTCAGTAAATTAATAATAAGAATATAATAGTCTTAAAGATTTTCGATTCCCTAAAACAAAATTTTGAGTAATCACTGTGCTCATCACTGTGGTTAATTTTCATCGTGTTCACCAGCTATTGTTAATCATTACTATTACTATTAATTCAGAGTATTGTTGCTTTCACCTACTTCATTTTATTCACAGTAGTATAACATTCTCTTTGACCATTGCTATTCACTTTAAATATACTTGCTGAGGGCTTTCTTTATTTGACCCCTCTAGACATGTTTCCCTTGTACATAATAATATCCTCCACTTCCCTTTTCTTGTTATGCCTGTCAATTTTGCTCGCAATGATAATAATGATAATATTAATCCTTGCATTTGATATAGTGCCTTGTCATGTCTTCGAGCTGTCTCAAAGTGCTTCACAGAATATACTGTAAAATTAATTGACTGTATATTTTGTGGGTAAAACACGGCAACCAATTGCGCACAACAGTGTCTCACAAACAGTCGTGGATTGGGTGACCAATTTATGATTTATTTCTTTTTTGAAGGAATGATTAACCCCAGAAAAACATTCTGCCAATCAACTAACAACCTGGGTTCCTACTTACTGCTAGGTAAACAGAGGCGTGTGGAGTAAGGAAACTTGCCCAACGTTTCGTCCTGCTGGGAATCAAACCCAGGTCTCTTGCTTGCAAGACGAGTGCTGTAACCACTGAGCTACAAGACTCCACTCATGTTGTATTTCCTCATTCCAACCTTGCCTCAGACTTATCTCCATCCATGACTCACTCTCCTCCCCTCTATATCTGTTTGCTCTCCCTTCTTGGAGCAACCACAGTCTCCTGCTCTTATCTCGATATTTAACAAGAACAACAACACCTTGCGTTTATACAGTGTCCCTCACACAGGGTAGTGTCCCAGACCTTACATTCACAGTTCATCCACTAAATTGCTGTGGTTTGAGCTGGTTCTTCTTTGCTGGAGACATTTTGCCGCATTGACTGATCCAACTCAACTTACCCTGAGCTAACACCTGCCCTTCCAGTCTCAGCCCTTGGGAAACTCTTCAGCCAAACCAAACAGACACCTGTCAATTTGCAATCTGTTTTGTGAAAAAATGCCACTTTTACGAAGAGGAGGGCAATAATTTAGAGTGTAGATTTACACCAATTATCACAACTGAGGTCCACGCATAAATGAAAACACCCACTGAAAGGAAAAATGCAGACTATAATAAAATATTCTGTGTGGTCTGCAAAAATGGTTGCATTGGCCAGATCCAACAACAACAACAAAATTATATTTGGAAAGCATCTTTAACGTTAGGAGGACGTCCCAAGGCGCTGGACAGACAGAGTTTCGGACATGAGCTGGGGGGTCAGGGATCGGGGAGGGTGGAGGGCAATGGGGGAAGCAGGGAGATTGAAAGCACGGTCAAAGAGGAGGGTCTTGAGGTGGGTCTTGAAGGAGGTAAGGGAGGGGATGAGGTGGAGGGACTCGGGATGGAGTTCCAAAGGGTGGGGGCAGAGTGGCAGAAGGCCCAGCCGCCAATAGTTGGGTGAGCGAGGCGGGGGACGTGAAGCAGGCTGGAGCCCACTGATTAGATGGAGCGAGCAGGATGGTAGGGGGTTAGCAGGTCGTAGAGGTAGGTGGGAGCAAGACCATGGAGAGCTTTGAAGGTGAGGACCAGGATCTTGAACTGTATCCTCTGTGTGATGGGAATCCAGTGGAGTCGGACGAGGATGGTCACAGAACCTGCTGAGGGAGAGGACGCGGACTGCAGAGTTCTGGATGATCTTCAGCCTGTGGAGGGAGAAGTTGTGGAGGCCGACAAGCAATGAGCTTGCATAGTCAAACCTCAATGAAATGAAAGCTTGATGAGGGTTTTGCCGGCCTACGGTGTGAGACAGTGGCGGAGCCGGGCGACATTGCAGAGGTGGGGGAAGGCAGAGCGGGACATGGCCCAGATGTGGTGTAGAAAGGATAGTTGAGGGTCAAACAAGACCCCAAGCTTCTGGACTGGCTTAGTAAGGTGGAGTGTGCAATCATGGATGGTGATGCTGTCAGCGCCTGAGGTGAGGAGGCGCTGACGGGAGCCAATCAGGAGAGCCTCGATCTTGTTGACATGAAAGGCGCTATATAAATGTAATTTTGTAGTTTTTGTTGACTGAAGAAAATTAGCTCTCATCAAGGACTTGATGTCCGACAAACATTCTGTCAGGACAGCAGTGGTCCTGGAGTGAACTGTTGAGGCACAGAGGTACAGTTGGGTGTCATCTGCATACATGTGGAAGTTGACCCCATGTCTGCGGATGATGTCACCAAGAGGGAGCATATAGGTATTCAAGAGGAGGGGAGCAAAGACAGAGCCGTGGAGGTTGAGGTGAGAGGAGAGATGGTGGATGAGGATAGAGTGGTCGACGACGTCGCAGGCAGCAGAGAGTTCAAGGAGAACGAGGAGGCTGAGGGAGCCCTGGTCGCAGATGAACAGAATGTCATTTGTCACTTTGACCAGGGCTATTTCTGTCCTGTGGGCGGCATGGAAACCCGATTGGAGGGGTTTGTGAATGGAGTGCCGGGAGAGGAAGGAGCGAATTTGGGAAGAAACAACTCATTCCAGGTCCACGGAGAGGAAAGGGAGGTTGGAGATGGGGCGGTAGTTTGGGAGTAGAGATGAGTTCAGGGAGGATTTTTTAAGGATAGGAGTGATGACGGCGGTTTTTACTGGAGTGGGAACAGCACCAGTGGACAGAGAGAGGTTTATGATGTCAGTGTGTAGAGGGGCAAGGAGGTGGAGCTGGGAGATAAGGAGAGGGGTAGGGATGGGGTCAAGGGGAACTGGTGGTTGATTTCATGTGGGTTATAGTGGTGATGAGAGAGGAGGGGGAGACAGGTTTGAAGGTGTGGAGGGAGGTCCAGAGTATCGTCCTCAATTCAGGAACCTTTGTCCTAGTGTATATTGGATCCCGGAAACCCCATGGTCTTACCAAGCCAACCATCACCCACCACCAGCCCAACTCCGACAGACATACAGACATTACGTTGTTATTAATATAGATTGTCTAAGACAGATAAGAAATTCAATTTTCCTAAGTTGAGTTGTACAGAGGAGTGCTTCAATTCTTCATGCTGGAACGTCTAGTTTGAGGATATCCTGGACTTCCTGGTAACCAAAATTAATAAAATCGCCTTGGCTACCTCCATTTCCTCTCCCTTCCTCTCCTACTCGCACACCCTCGGCGCTTTTCGGACATCCTGCCGACGTGAAAGGCACTCTATAAATGCAATTTTGTTGTATTTTGTTGTTGTTCACACCTTGCAAACCCATCTCCCCCTCATTCATCTCCTCATCTCTTGCATGAAATTTGACACCTACTCCCTTGATTCCATTCCGATGTAGTTGCTGTCCACCCAGCTGCCCCTTGTCACCCTGCCTAGGTAACATTGTCAACCTCCTCTTTCCTCCAGCACGATGTTAGATATCAAACAAGGTCACCCAGCATTCCTTTTAGGTAAAATCTGTTAAGTCAAGCTTTATTAGTACTATAAAGTTACACCATGGAGAGATTACAACAAAGCAATGCTACCGCGGGACGAGACGTTCAGCCGAGGTTCAAATCTGTCTTGTCTTATGCATAACCCGACAATGGTACCCCTCCCTTTCAAAACTGTCATCACCCCTGAGAATATTTATTGCACGTGTATATTGGTGTATTTTACCTGTCAGGTGAAATTTTTTAGTTTGCCCATTCAAAGTGATCTCAGAATACAGAAAATACAGAAAAAAAGTCAGGTAATAATAATAATAATAATAATAATAATAATCCTTGCATTTGATATAATGCTTTTCACGTCTTCTCGACGTCTCAAAGCGCTTCACAGAATAGACTCTAAAGTGAATTGACCGTATATTTGTGGGCAAAACGTAGCAGCCAATTGCGCACAGCAACAGTTGTGGATTGCTAATGACCGATTTATTATTGTTTTTTGTTTCTTTGGAGGGATTATTATTAGACGTGTGGAGTAAGGAAACTTGCCCAAGGTTTCGCCCTGCCTGGAATTGAACCCAGGTGTCTCACTTAATATATAAGAATATATGGAGCAAGAAGGGCTACTGCTGTAATTAGGGAAGAGGTGGTGCTCTGATGGGGATCTGAGAGAAAGAAAGAAAACAGCACTGTAGAGTGACAATATAATTTGTATTTTTGGACAGTAAATAAATAGGATTCATTATGTATTAACTAAAAGATGCATTCATAAATACTAATAATAATTTGGTCATTCAGGCCATGGCTGTTTGTAGGACACTGCTGTGTGCAATTGGCTGCCGGGTTTCGCCTACAAAATATGCAGTCAATTCACTTTACAGTATATTCTGTGAAGTGTTTTGAAACGTCTCGATGGCGCTATTTCAAATGCTAGGATTATTATTATTGTACTACACATTGTATTTTATGTGGAGAGTTTTTATATCTACACTGGGCTGATCCCATATAGTGCAGGTATTAAGGGCTGAGTACTGTACTTAATGAAGTAAATCTAATAATCTTATTTTGGCAGGATTTGATGATACAGAAAAGGTTAGAAAAGTCAGATATTATTCATTTGAACATGTAGCTTGCAGTTAGTTCCATATTGCTGAATATTTGTTCTCCTGGCATCTGAATCCAAGGAAATTTGTTTGTGTGGGACAATTTCCTGGATGGCTTATAGCATGGCTTATAGAACTATTATGATCCCACTCTTTCCAATTTTGTAGAATAGTTTTTCTCCCTTAAAGGGGTTTTGTCAGACAGTGATTGACCTATATTAATTTGGGAATTTGCAATTGGTTTAATTGATAAACAAATTTGTTCCACATAGCTCGCTTGTTAGATGTAATCTTTTAAAGGATGATTTTGAAACTTTGCTGTGGATTCAGGAAGATTCATCCAAATGATATTAAATCTGAAATAATTAAACTTCAGGCTATCAGAATCTGAGAAAGGAATAATGAAGAGAGGCTGCACAATAATCCACACTATTTTAATATATGCAGTAAAACTGTTCCCAAATAGTGTGGATATCGAGCTTTCTGCTGTAAGTTAATGAAGAAATCTGTGTATTTCTTTTTTTAGCATATTTTGCTGATGGAAGGAGGATAGAAAGTTGCCAGACATTAAGTATTCTTGCCAGCACCAGTGTGCTTCTGACTCAAATTTAATTAACCTCTTTAACTGTGCTGAAGTTGGAGTTAGGGAAGGTTTCTGTTTGATCCTAAGTTAAGCTTCAACTACACATCTACTTTGTTGCCCAGACAGCTCTGTAATATTAGCAACTTTGAGCCATAATAATAATAATAATAATAATCCTTGCATTTGATATAGCGCTTTTCACGTCGGGAGGACGTCCCAAAGCGCTTCACAGAATATACTGTAAAGTGAATTGACTGTATATTTGTGGGCGAAACGCGGCAGCCAATTGCGCACAGCAATGTCCCACAAACAGTAATGGATTGAAAATGACCAATTTATTATTGTTTTTGGTTTTGGAGGGATTATTATTAGGCTCTGTGTGGAGTAAGGAAACTTGCCCAAGGTTTCGCCCTCTGCCTGGAATTGAACTCAGGTCTCTCGCTTGCAAAGCGAGTGCTCTAACCACTGAGCTACAGGACACTTTATCATCACTGGTGAAATCTTTATAGAAAGCTTACAAAATCAAAATACAGAATGAAGCCATTCAGCACATTGGAAAAGAGGCTATTCATCTTGTGAAATGCTTTGGGATATCCTCCAGAAGTCTGGCCTGGTATCAACTCTTCCATGAAGAGAACTATATCTCAATTACCTATTCTTTCTCTGAGCCTTTTCCCTCCAGATGTTTATCAAATTCTCCATTCAATGTTGTTGTTATCCATACCTTAATCATATCTAGGGAAAAAATAATAATAATAAATTGGTCACTCAATCCACAACTGTTTGTGGGACACTGCTGTGCGCAAATGGCTACCAGGTTTTGCCTACAAAATATACAGTCAGTTCACTTTACAGTATATTCTGTGAAGCGCTTTGAGACGTCTCAAAGACGTGATAAGGCGCTATATCAAATGCAAGGATTATGAATATTATTATTTCAGATATTCTCCCTATTGGGCTGCTAAGTTGGCTCCACCCTTCACAAACTTCAACTCATCCAAAACTCAAGTCTTGTCCTGCTCAGCTTGAAAATGGGCAATAGTTAATTGTCAATGATGTACATATGGACACTAAACCCATGATTTATACAAAATTCTGCACTTGTGCACCTCTGTTCTTGTCACATTCCAATGGCTCCTTGTCCCACGCTTAATTTCAGTACTTCCATATTTATTTTTAAATCCCTCCATGGCATTGCTCCACTCTGTATCAAATTTTCAACAGCCTTATCTTCTAGCCTGCATTCTGTGCTTTGACCTCTGCTAGTTGTATCTCTTTGCTCCACTATTGGGCTGAATGGCCTACTTCTGGCCTTTCTAAGGTTCTATTGAAAGCTGAGTCTTCAGCAACCATGCTCACTCCTGTGAAACTCTCTTCCAAATTTACTTCACCTTTTCAATTATGTTCCTACTGTTAGTCTCCTTTGACTTAAATCGAGCCCCTTCAATCTCCTCTACATTTTAATGTACACTGCTCCAATTGTTACATGAATAATGTAAAAACAAGCTGTTTTTCTTCTTCTGCGAGAACCATCTAAGAGTTCATCCAATCTGACCCACAGTTCACCTTCAGGTCATTGGTATATTCTATAAATTAATAGAAATTAGATCATTCTGTTATTACTGAGCCAGCTACAACATTGCATAAGAGGAAACTATCTAGTATAGACCTGTTATATATATTCCAATGATGGATACTGATATTAAACAATAGAAGATGCATAAAATACTGTAAATATAGTATGCATTTTGGTATATGCTGTGAATCATAGACTCATACAGCACAAAAAGAGGCCATTCGGCCCATTGAGTTTGTGCCGGCTCTTTGAATAGAGAAATTAATGTCAATCCCACTCCCCAGCCCTTTCCCCATAACCCTACAAACCCGTCCTCCTCAAATACCCGTCCACCGCGTTTTTAAAAGTTGTTATCGATTCGGCCTCGACCACCCTTTCAGGCAATGCATTCCAGATTCGAACAACTCGCTGCGTGAAAAATATTCTTCTCACCTCCCCTCTACTTCTTTTAGAAACTATTTTGAATCTGTGACCTCGAGTCACCGACACACCCACTAGTGGAAACAATTTTTCCCTTTCTAACCTATCAAGTCCCCTCATGACTTTGAAAACCTCTATTAGGTCTCCTCGTAACCTTCTCTGCTCCAATGAGAATAATCCCAGCCTCTCTAGCCTTTCCTCATAATCAAGGTCCCTCATTCCTGGTACCATCCTCGTAAATCTCCTCTGCACCCTTTCCAATGCCTTAACATCCTTCCTATAGTGTGGTGCCCAGAACTGGGCGCAGTATTCTAACTGAGGCCTAACCAGTGTTTTATATAGGTTAATCATAACCTCCTGACTCTTGTACTCTGCCCCGATTTATAAAGCCTAGTATCCCATATGCCCTTTTTACAGCTTTACCTGTCCTGCCACCTTCAAGGATTCATTTACCTGCACCCCTACATCTCTCTGTTCTTTTACCCCCCTTAAGATTGTATTACCTAGTCTATATTACCTTCCCTCATTCTTTCTACCAAAGTGCATTACCTCGCATTTCTCCATATTGAAACTCATCTGCCATGTGTCTGCCCATTTTACCATTCTGTCTATGTCTTCCTGCAGTTGGCTTCTATCCTTCTCACTGTTTACTACCCTACCTAACTTTGTGTCATCCGCAAACTTGGAAATGGTGCTTGCTATACCCAAGTCCAGATCATTTATGTATATTAAGAAGAGCAGTGGTCCTAATACCGATCCCTGGGGACGCCACTGTACTCTTCCCTCCAGTCAGAAAAGCAGCCGTTCACCACAACTCTCTGCTTTCTGTCTCCCAGCCAGTTCTGGATCCATGCTGCCACTGTCCCTTTTATACCATGGGCTTCTATCTTTCTTACAAGTCTTTCATGTGGCACTTTGTCAAATGCCTTTTGAAAGTCCATATAAACTACATCAACTGCACTACCTTTATCCACCCTCTCCGTTACCTCATCGAAAAATTCTATTAGATTTGTTAGACAAGATTTGCCTTTAACAAATCCATGTTGGCTGTCCCTAATTAACCCATATTCTTCTAAGTGAAGATTTATTCTGTCCCGGATTATAGTCTCCAGGAGTTTCCCCACTACTGATGTTAGGCTGACTGGCCTGTAGTTCCCAGGTTTGTCCTTCTGTCCCTTTTTGTACAGGGGAGTCACATTGGCCACTCTCCAGTCCTCTGGCACCACTCCTGTGTCCAACGAAGATTGAAAAATTGTAGCCAAAGCCTCCGCTATTTGACCCGTGCCTCCCATAGTAATCTTGGTTGCCATCCGTCCAGACCGGGCGACTTATCTATCTTCAGCGCAGTCAACCTTTTCAGTACTTCCTCTCTGTTTATACTTATCCTATCCATTTCCTCTACCTTCTCCTCCGATACTGTGGCATTTGGTGCATCCACTTCTTTTGTGAAGACAGATGCAAAGTACTCATTCAACACATCAGCCATGCCCTCTGCCTCCACAATAAGATTTCCCCTATATTGAAAAAAAATTCTCAAGTCTTTCTTCATATCTGAATCCCCTCTTATGCTTTGAATCATTGAGCGATGATTATATTTACATCAATAAAGGATGAGAAACGGATTTAAAACTGTAGAATAATGTCAAATCTGGACCCATGTCTGTAACTGATTTTTATTTGTATTCATCTACAGGAAGACAACCCAAGGTTCTGTCAAAATGGGTGTGTTTGAAGTGCTCATTGCCTTCCTGATCACAGCAAATCTGTGCTTCACTGAGTCTCAGCAGATTGGTACTCTTTCTACTTTGTTCAAATACAGCAGTGATTTACTTAATAGAATGAAACCTCAAAAAGATGTAAATGTAAAGATGGCGTAAATATAAGTATCACATCACTGAACATTGTAATCCAAACCAATTGATATTTATTGGCCGTCAGTGCAAGCATCCCACATTCAACCGCTCTGCCTTTCTCAACTTTGCTTATGTATACCATTCACCAGGTGCAGATCTTACTGAGGGAAGTTTTGTATTACAGTCTTCATATTACAGGAGTAGCATTTTGGCATTGGAGAAGGAACAGTACAAGGTAGCTAAATTGGTAATGAGAATTAGATACTTGAATTACCAGGAAACCGCACATAACTGGAAATGATCACACTGGATAATATAATATAAATAATGATAATCATTTCATGGCACTCGGCAGACATTTCAAGATCCTTATAATATATTTGCCATGAACAACAAATATAGAACAATGAGGCACAGACTCACAACAACATCTTGCACTTATGTAGTGCCCTCCATGCAGGGTAGTGTCTCAAGCTTAGAACAGAAAATCGAAGTACACTTAAAGAATCACAAAATGGTGAATGTGTGCAACAACCTAACAAGGAAGGTGGTAGAGGCAGACTGTGTTCGTAAATTGTGTGTATGATAATATTTCCCTCATTTTTGCATTTATTTGTACAGGTCCATTTAAAAACTGTCAATATTATTTACTTGAAAGTGGTTAGCCTCAACTCAGTACCCAGCAGACTTGAGTCGGCAACACAGCAGACTAAATTAATTCTATTCTGGCCCTTAATTTTCATCTCATTTTTATAGATGTTATGAAAAGATCATGATTTTTACTAATGGCCATGTGCTGGCCCCAGTATTTATGATAATTATTACCTTACATTGATTGAGAACAGTATTTATACAATTATTAATTTATAATTATTGACAGTGTTAACTGCCATTTTACCTATTTATCTGCTGATCAACAATAGTGACAGTATTTGTATAGAATATTAATGTTAGTAATATTAACTAGGATTAAAGTAATTTTACAGGCTAATAATCAGTACTGATGACTGGAGTCGACATTTGTGATTATTAACTTATTTTGATGTATAATAGTAACAATGTAATACTTTTGTTTTTGAAGTCTGCAAGGAGTCCTCTGTAGCAGATATTGTGTTCCTAGTGGATGGATCATGGAGTATAGGATCCCAAAACTTCAGAAGGGTTCGAGAGTTTCTCTATACTCTAGTAAATGCATTTGATATCGGAGAAGATAAAGTCCGAGTAGGCCTGGTCCAGTACAGCAGCACCCCTCGGACTGAATTCCTGCTCAACAGCTACAGCAGCAAAACTGAGATTCTACAGTACCTGCAGCAGCTGCCGTACAAAGGAGGAGGCACGAGAACTGGCTTGGGTCTCAATTTCATATTGAACAACCACTTTACAGAGTCTGCAGGAAGCAGAGCTGCGCGTGGAATACCACAGGTGGCCATTGTCCTAACAGATGGGAAATCTCAGGACAGGGTTGGACTACCAGCTCAAGCATTGAAAAACAAAGGAATTATTGTTATTGCCATTGGCATCAGAGATGCTGTTGAAAAAGAACTATATGATATAGCGAGCGACCCACCTGAAACGTATGTGTACAACATGCCGGACTTTGCTGCATTGAGAGGAATATCTCAGGTGATAATACAGCTACTTTGTAGCACAGTGGAGGAAGGCGCAAGCCAAGTAACACAGGTGTTACAGGAGTTTGAGATGTCACCAGGTACGATTCCAAGGAATGATTCAGACTGGGGTTTACATACTCAGTTGGATGGCTAATCACGTTCAGTCTATTTGCTTCGATAGGATAATTTTCCTTTCACATTTGGGTGAATTCAGCGGTAAATTTGATATTTATCACATCAAATATTGTATTAAACTTCAGGCTTTGGATCATCACTGTTGATTGCTGGCTAGTAGGAAACATTTTGGGGGGATTTATTAAATCTAGCGTCTCAGACATACCTACTGATATATGTGGGATTCCACTTTGTTCACACCCAGATACGTTTAGTGTGATAGCCTTCAAAAAATACTTCTGAACTGACCCCTGATACTTTTATTCTCTGCTCGAGCTGTGATTGCTTTCCCAATTGATGTCTTTTGATAATTATATCAAACTGTTCCAGTTTTTTTCCCATTTGGTAGCCTTAATGAAGTATCACACTTGGAACAGCTGGTAAAATGCTTTGCCTCGCCACTTCAGCTTTTCCTATAGCTTTGCTATGTGTAATTTGGACACATTTCTTTCTTTTCTTTTCCTTGTAAAACTGGTATGGATGGATGAAGAAGTTATATTTTTTACCAACGTGCATCGCAGTTCAAAATCTTTTTCCACCTATTTGCTTTGCAAGTACTTTTAAGTGTTATTGTTTTGTCTTTAGCGTGTAGGAGAGCCACAGTTGCCGACATTGTTTTCATGGTGGATGGTTCAACAAGCATAAACGATGAGAACTTTGAAGACGTCAAGGCATTTCTAAGCACCTTTGTCAGTGGTCTTGATATTGGTCGTGACAAAATAAGAATTGGGCTGGTTCAGTACAGCGATAATCCAAATACAGAGTTTCTCCTGAAGAGATTTTCATCAAAGCAAGACATCTTGAATTATCTGCAAAGACTGACACAGAAAAGAGGTGGAACCAACACAAGAACGGCCCTGGAATTTCTCCAAACCCAACATTTTATCCCATCAGCAGGGAGTCGAAAGACAGAAAATGTCCAGCAGTTCGCTGTGTTGATCACGGATGGAGGATCCACTACTGAAGTTGTGCACGCAGCTCGCCAGCTCAAACAGGGCAGTGTCACAACTTACGTTGTTGGAATTAATGTTCAAGACCAAAAGGAACTTCAAGACATTTCCAGCAAACCTACCGAGAAATACATCTATGATGTTCCGAGTTTTAATATGCTGAAAGCCCTTGCAGCTAATGTTCTAGAGTCAGTGTGCATGACTATTGAAGCCCATAATCAAGGTTTGTGGCCTCGGTATTTTCTTTTATTATTAATAATTCTTTTAAATCTTATACTACAAAAATCTTTTATTCAAACAAATACCTTCATAGGGACATCGGACGTGTATCAACCTACATCTTGGCCAAAAAATGCCAAGCATCAGTGAATTATATTAACTAATTATTTGTTAGTAAGAATTCAAATTTACCATGTAAAATACACAACTACAATGGTGGTCAACAGTTCTTTGTTCATTAAAAAATAGCCACTTCTCCCACTTCTTTTTGTAGATTTCGGCAAAGTGCCTGCTATGAAAAATGCAATAATGCCTTTGATGAAAGGTGGACCTTATGCACTGAACATATGGCTGTTAATTGTTGGTTAATAATAATAATCTTATAATAATAATAAGTTTTACATTTGATACAGTGCCTGATCATGTAGGAATGTCTCAAAGTACTTCACTTTTTTTTCTGGAAAGGTGTAGTTATTGTGTGGGAAAATGGAGCAACCAATTTGCCTGCAGAATATTTCACAAACAGCCAGGAGATGATTGGTCAATTTCACTGGAGAATTGTTGACCAGGATTGCTAACATTGTTTATCTTGAGTCAAGGTGACCTAAAACCCTAACATATCAAACAGTCTGATAAGCATGTCGTCTCAGGTACTAATGCAATATTTTTATTTTCTGATTCACAGCCTTTGCTGTACGCTACGCTGATGTTGTTTTTCTTGTCGATGGATCTCAGAACATGGGAGCATCAGGATTTCAACAGATACGAAACTTTATTTTCAGAATCGTTTCTCAGCTGGATGTTAGCGTGGACAAATTCCGTATTGGGCTTGGTCAGTTTGGTGCTAAAGCACGAACTGAATTCCTACTGAACACATATCAAAACATACCAGAGATGATAAACTACATAAGGAGCGGTCGCAGTTTTGCATTTAGAGGAGGACAGGCATTAAGAACAGGGAGTGCAATTGATTACCTCCTCAGGATCTTTTTCACAGAGTCTGCTGGAAGCCGGAAGAAAGAAGGTGTTCCACAGATTGCTATAATAATCACCTCTGCATCATCACAGGATGATGTTATAGTGCCTGCCAGAGCTTTAAGAAACCATGGTGTGAAAGTCATCTCCATCGGTGTCAGGAATTCAGAATTAACTGAGATGAAAAAGATAGCTTTCCTTCCAAATTTTCCATTTGTTTTCCAGATCAGTGCTTTTAGTGCTCTTGTTCAACTATCTGACCGTATATCCACTGCAATGAAAACGATAGTGAGAAACGAGTTTCTGCACAGAGAGCTCAAAGCCCCAGAAGGTAACCACTTTAAGTCCTTTCTCTCGATAACAACTTTTATTCAGTCATTTTATGAAGTGTATTTAATTCACGAAGTGTAGCACGCTTCTGTAATTTTGCATATTATTTAGAATGAAAGGAAAGTTAAACCGACAGATGCAAAAGTGCAAATAAACACATATTTATATTTTGTTGCTTTGTAGATACTTAAATATTTGTAAAAATTTTATAATTTTCTCCATTCCCATCTGCTCCTCAGAAAGTGTCTGTCAGTGGATTTGAACGAATGATCCAGCCCACAATTCTCCATGAACCAATAAATACATTGTCAGCACAGTAAAACACAGATTTAGAACGATTTGTAGAACTCTTAAATTTGGTCTTAACTTATCAGTTGGTTTCCACCTCTTTCAGAAAACTGGTTTCCAAATTAAGGCTAAATTTAACAATTTGCTAAAATTTTGCATGATCTTAAATTTTAAGACAGCTGTTTTAAGATATGAGCTGAGGAATCTTGGCCTCGGAGCTGAGTTCACCATTCTCAACTTTATTTATGAGGTATTACATAGATTATATAGCACAGAAACAGGCCATTCAGCCCAACTGGTTTATGCCGGCATTTATGCTTCACATGAGCCTCCTCCTGCCATTTATCAACTAAGCCTATCAGCATAACTTCCTATTCTTTCTCCCTCATGTACTTATCTAGCTTCCCCTTAAATATATTTATGCTATTCACCTCAACTACTCCTTTTGGTAGCAAGTTCCACATTCCACCACTCTCTGGGTAAAGAACCTTCGGACTTCCCTATTTGATTTATTGGTGACTATTTTATATTTATGGCCTTTCATAATTGATCTTGCTTGCTTAATCCACCGAATTTGTTAAAATAGTTGACCAAATCAGCAACAACTTGGAAAATTTCATCAGCCACTTATTTTGTATTCCAATCTTGTTGTTCATACAAAACAGACATCTTTTGCTCATTGTTCCCTTAGTCAGGATCCCTGGGGCCATCACACTGAATCTTATGGTGACGCCTGGATTTCAATTCCAGTTTTATTCTCAAATCATCTGTATTAAAGCAGTCAAAGAGAAAGGAAATTAAGACCATTTGTTATTTGTACAAATACTCTTTCTGTATCTTCAGAGAAAAATATTATTACTGGTGCACTGGCAACGAACGACATTAATGTTGTTATAAGTGTCATATAAACTCACCCATCCATAACCGTGGTCATGCACTTGACCTCATCATCACCCATGGCCTTGACATTTCCAACCTCAGCATAGTGGACAAGGCCATCTCGGACCACTTTTTCATCTCCTTCTCTTCTCACATCCCTCTTTCGTCCACCAAGCCCTCAACCTTTCTCAACTGCCCTTGGAAAAGGCTACCCCCTGAGTCCCTCACAAAGGCCCTCTCATCTTCAAACATCCTATCCGTCTGGCCTTCCACCCGCGGAGATCCTAAAGCAGCCGTCCAGCTGCTCCATGATCGTCTCTCCTCCACTTTCAACTCCCTTGTACCCCTAAAATCCAGGACCATCTCCAAACCCACCCGATTCCCCTGGTACAACAACCATCTCTGCCGCCAAAAAACTCAAACCCGTCTGCTCGAGTGCAGATGGCAGAAAATTGGCCTGACAGTTCACCGCCAACTGTGGCTCGAGCATCTCACAGCTACCGCCGTTCTGTGACACACGCAAAAACGGCCTTCTACTCCAACATCATCTTGGAGGCTAAACACAACCCCAAAATCCTTTTTTCCACCACCCACTACCTCCTCCGTGCCCCCCTCAGGCCTCCTCAATCTTCGTATCAAATGCCAAGTGCGAGGAGGTCATGGACTTCTTTTCAACAAAAATACTGAACATCCGCCAGGCAGCCTCATCCACCTGCCCCTTGTCACCCACCGCCACACCCTCTCTGCCCTCCTTACCTTCCTCATCATCTGCTCCTACCACCACCCCCTTTCTACACTCTTTCCTCCCCATCTCTCCCTCCTCCCTCTCACCCACCATCACCTCCATGAAACTCACCACCTGCTGCCTCGACCCCCTCCCCACCAACTTACTGGTCACCCAGCTCCCCCTCCTCTGCCCACTACTGGCTGACATTATCAACCAGTCCCTCTCCTCCGGATCAGTCCCTGCCTCCCTCAAAACTGCTGTCATCACCCCACTCCTGAAAAAACCCTCACTAGATCCCTCAAACCCCAGCCATTACCGTCCTATTTCTAACCTGCCCTTCCTCTCAAAAGTTCTGGAACGCATTGTTGCCAACCAACTTCGCGTACACCTCTGCTCCCAATCCCTCTTCGAACCCCTCCAGTCCGGTTTCCGCGCTGCCCACAGTACAGAGACTGTGCTTATGAAAGTCACAAATGACATCCTCTCTATCTGTGACCAGGGCTCCCTCTGCCTCCTTGTCCTCCTGGACCTCTCCGCTGCATGGGACACAGTGGATCACGCCATCCTCTTCCACCGCCTTTCCTCCGTCATCCACCTCAGTGGGACCGCACTCGCCGGGTTCGAGTCCTACCTCACAAACCGCCAGCAGTACATCTGCAAAACGGCTTCTCCTCCCGCTCTCACACGGTCACCTGCGGGGTACCCCAAGGATCCATCCTTGGCCCCCTCCTCTTTCTGATCTACATGCTCTTTCTTGGGGATGTCATCCGCAGACATGGGATACATTTCCACATGTATGCAGATGACACCCAGCTCTATTTTTCCACCTCTCTTTGCGACCCCCAGTCCCCTGATGTTGTGTCAGCCTGCCTGTCAGACCTCAGGGGCTGGATGAGCGCAAACTTCCTTCAGCTGAACGTTGACAAGATGGAAGCCATACTCTTCGGCTCTCGTCAACGTCTAAAATCTCACGGTTCTCACCTCCTCCACCTACCTGACCTCCCCCTAAAACTCTCCGAACCCGTACGCAACCTCGGCGTCAGGTTCGACCCCCAATTATCCTTCCTCCCCCCCATCTGGTCCCTCACCAGCACCGCCTTCTTCCACCTCTGACACATCGCCCGTCTCCGCCAATACCTCGCCCCAATAGCCGCTGAAACTCTGGTCCATGCCTTTGTCACCTCTCGGCTGGACTATTCAAATGCCCGCCTCACTGGTCTCCCCTCCACTACCATCCATAAAATCCAATTCTTTCAAAACTCTGCCGCCCGCATTCTCACCCGTACGAAACTCCGCTCCCCGATCACCCCAGTCCTTGCCAGACTACACTGGCTGCCTGTCCCAGAGAGGATCGCTTTCAAGATCTTCACCCTCGTATTCAAATCCCTGCACTCCTCTGCAACGCCCTACCTCTCTGACCTCCTCTTCTCAGCACAGTACCCGTTGCCTTCGTTCCTTTGTGTCTGGCCTCCTCCTCGTCCCCCGAGTCCTCCGCTCCACCCTCGGCGGCCGTGCCTTCAGCCACTATGCCCCGAGGCTCTGGAACTGCCTTCCTCACTCCTTTCGTCTCGCTCCCTCCCCATTTTCAGGTCTCTGCTGAAGACCTTTCTGTTCGACCGCGGCTTTGGTCACCTTCCTCTCCCTGGCTCAGCCCCGGGATCCTAAACTGTAAAGCGCTCTGAGACACCGTCCGGCGTGGAGGGCACTATATAAATCCAAGTTGTTGTTGCTGTAGTGACTCAGATAGGACACTGACAGGGTTTGGCAGCCCGTGTATTTTCTCTGTCACCTATCTCTGTGGTGTTGGATCTCCACTGCACCAATAGGGAGATTGTGGGGATGAACAAATAATTACCAACCCTGTGCCTCAAGTTATATCATCATTTTATTGGTGCTCTCGCTCGTCATACCTGTAACATTACTTTGGTATTTTCATAAAGTATTTCAGGGAGCATTTTGTACATATTATAACTGAACACTTTTGTGCTCTTCATTTCTAGTGTGCCAGTCTGCTTCAGTTGCTGATATTGTTTTCCTGGTGGATGAATCGGGCAGCATTGGGACAGTAAACTTTCAGCTGATCCGATCTTTTCTGTATAATTTTATCGACATCTTGGAGGTGAGCCCTGATTACGTGCACATCGGCTTGGCACAGTACAGCAATAGCCCGGTGGCTGAATTTTATCTAAACCGTTATCAAAACAAGAGCGACGTCCTGGACCACATCCAATCAATGACGTACAGGGGAGGAGGCAGAAACACTGAGACTGCTCTCAATTTTGTGCGACAAACTTACTTTACAGACCGTTCTGGCAGTCGGGCAAGAATTGGGATCCCCCAGTTACTGATTGTGATCACTAGTGGAGAATCCGAGGATAAAATGGGTAAAGCAGCCGCCACTCTCCGACGGTCAGGTGTCATCATGTTTGCTTTAGGGATCCAGAATGCTAATGAGACTGAACTTCGACACATTGCCTCGTATCCATCGAGAAGTTACATTTCCAAAATAGATGATTACATACAGCTCTCAGCCATTGAGAGAAACTTCCAGAAGAAGGTTTGCAGTGAGATTGGTAAACAAACAGCGGTAGTGTCCGAACGAACAGCAATTCTCGAACAAGGTGAGGTTCGGGAATCAGTGTCGAAAATTGTTCCTAAACTCAATATGTATTTCAGACTTAGTTCAGAGGGCAAACTCTTCAAAATATCTGTAGTTACTAATAATAGTAATATAATAATAGTCTCCATTAACCTCTCTTGATTTATCTAATTTTCTCTGCTACTCTTTTCGGCTCTTCATGGGCCAATGTCAGCTCTACACCTGAGTTTCTCAATAAAAAAAAGAGTGTGTTTCCTTGCAGGAGAGAGGTTCGTGATTGATTGGGATTTGGAGCAAACATCACCTTTCCAAAAAAGAGCTCCTGTTTTATTTTAAAACAAATTTATAAAAGAATACCTGCTTTTCCATTTTTTTATTCATTTTTACCCACAAATTATTAGTTCTTCCATCTGTCATTAAATATACTTCCTGATATCTGATAATTTTTCTTTCAGCTGTCCATTACTTTTGGATGCACCAAGACAGTGGAATAAGAGGGCATAGGTTGCAAACGTTAGGAAAGACACCAGAAAGCTTTTCTTTATCCAGAGGGTAAATTAATAACTGGAACAGATTGCGAAAAGGGCAGTTGAGGTCAGGATGTTATGTTTTTAAAAAAAACTTGGTGCTGTAATGGGAAGACGGGTGGGCAGTTATTCTGGAAGGTTGAGGTGAAATGAGCTAAAGGCCCTTCTTCCGAAACAATCTTGTGATCTTATAATCAGGAGGAAGGAGCATGTGCATGGCCTGGGTAATTTACCTTTTCTCGCTTTGGATGACTGCCTGAACGCCACTCCGTGCTATGTACAAATCAATAAGAATGAAATTACACCATTTAATTTCGTACTGGGGAACACACAGTGTAAAGGGCAAGGAAGGGGAGGAATTCCTGAAATGTGTGCAGGAGAACTTTCTGGATCAGCGTGTTTCCAGCCCAACGAGGAAAAAAGCTTTGCTGGATTTAGTTCTGGGAAATGAAGTGGGGCAAGTGGAGCAGGTTTCAGGAGGAGAGTATTGGATAACAGTGATCACAATATCATTAGGCTTAAAATAGTTATAGAAAAGGACAACAATCAATCAAAGGTAAAGACCCTCAACTGGAAGTGTACTAATTTCAGTGAGCTAAAAAGGGACCTGGCCAAGATAAATTGGCAGGTAAGACAGCAAACAAACAATGGGAAGCCTTCAAAGAGGAGATAGTTCAGGGCCAGAGCAAATACATTCCCACAAAGGGGAAAGGTAGGACAGTCAAACCTCGCTGGATGACTAAGGAAATTGGGATTAAAATAAAACAGAAAAAGGAGGCTTATGACAAATGTCAGGTCCAAGTTTAAGCAACTTGCTCATTAATTGCTATTCTTGAGGGTTGCCTTTTTTCGGTTGGCAGGCCCTGTCAGAATCTAGCTACTTATTGCTCAGTCGAGATCCTGTGTCGACTGGTACCTTGGACCGTTACCTCTGTGGCTTGTTGTCATTTACTGATAAGAGGTGACCCCCTGCCCCTGTCTGTTATTCTTTCAAAAACAGAGAAAACCAGATGTGTCCTATCCCATGACTGTCAGTCCAGTTGTCCCCCACACTTAACTTAAAATTTAACCCATTCACAACATCTATTGTGATTCTAACAGTATACAAAAAGTGTATATTCTAACAAGACTTATAAACAATATAAAAGCCCATGGTATTAAAGGGACTTGGCAACATGGATCCAGAACTGGCTCGGAGACAGAAAACTGAGAGTGGTAGTAAGCGGTTGCTTTTCTGACTGGAGAAAGGTGTGTAGTGGTGACCCTCAGTGGTCGGTAATGGGACTACTGCTCTTTCTGATCTATATTAATGATCTGGACCTGGATATAGGGAGCACAATTTTCAAATTTGCAGACGATGCTAAGCTAGGAAAAGTAGTTAATGGTGAGGAGGATAGCACCAGTCTCTAAGAGAACTTAGACAGATTGGTAAAATGGGCAGAAACATGGCAGATGAGGTTTAATGTGGAGAAATGCGAAGTGTTGTATTTTGGTAGGAAGAATAAGGAGAGGCAGTATAAGCTAGATGGTAAAATCTTAAAGGGGCAAATGAACAGAGAGACCTGGGAGTCCACATACGCAAATCTCTGAAGGTGGTAGGACAGGTAGATAAAGCTGTTAAAAAAGCATACGGGATACTGGTTTTATAAATAGGGGCATAGAATTCAAAAGTCAGGAGGTTACGTTGAATATTTATAAAATGCCGGTTAGGCATCAGTTGGAGTACTGCGTTCAGTTCTGGGCACCGCACTTTAGGAAAGATGTTAGGGCATTGAAGAGAGGGCAAAGGAGGTTTACCAGGATGGTACCAGGAATGAAGGACCTTAGTTATGAGGAGAGGTTAGCGAAACTAGGATTATTTTCCCTAGAGCAGTGAAGATTAAGAGGGGATTTAATCGAGGTTTTCAAGATCGTGAGAGAATTTGATAGGTTGAACCGGGAAAAACTGTTTCCACTGGCATGAGGCTCACTAACCTGAGGACACTGATTTAAGATAGTTGTTAAAAGAAACAGAGGGGAGGTTAGGAATTTTTTTTTCACCCAGTGAGTTGTTTGGATCTGGAATGCATTATCTGAAAGGATAGTGGAAGCCGATTCAATAACAACTTTTAAGAGAGAAGTAGATGGGTATTTGGGGAGGGCAGGATTGCAGGGCTATGGAGAGAAAGCGAGCCAGTGGGATTGAGTTGGATTGCTCTTTTAGGAGCTGGCACAGACGCGATGTGTCGAATGGCCTCTTTCTGTGCTGTATGATTCTATGATTCTAAGAATTTGTAGCTTGGTACACTTAAGAACATGTTATACATTTAGACAAATCTACAAATTCTGAAAGAGAGAATTGTGGAAATACAGCAAAGTGAATATCTTGCATGTCATTCAGTTGGTTTCAATAATTTAAACTGTGTTACTCATCTTTTTTCAGGGTGTATTGAGACTGAAGAAGCTGATATCTTTTTCCTGATTGATGGATCAGGCAGTATACAACCTGACAACTTCCAAGACATGAAAATGTTCATGAAAGAAGTAGCGAAGACCTTCCGTATTGGAGCAAACAAGGTTCGCATTGGCGTTGTCCAATTTGGATCAGCTCCACAAACAGAATTTGACATGACTCAGTATTCCACCAACACAGAATTGGAGATGGCAATGAATCAAATTGTTCAGATTGGAGGAGGCACTGAGACGGGCCGTGCACTCACTTACATGAAGACTCTTTTCAGTGAAGCGGCAAAAACTCGTAGCTATGGAGTGCGGCGTTTTCTAATTATCATCACAGATGGTCAATCAGAGGATAGTGTGGAAATTCCTGCTGAGGAACTAAGACAAGAGGGAATAGTCAATTATGCTATAGGTGCGGGCGAAGCAGATCCAGCTGAACTTCTGCTGATTGGAGGATTTCAAGAAAAAGTATTTTATGTCACCAGCTTGGATTTTTTAATAGATTTGAAGAACAGCATTGTGCGGGAAATCTGTTCAGTAGAAGGTAAGAGGTATTCTTCAATGTGCTTTATAAATTAGTATCTGCAGCAGCTATGCCATAATGAACAACCCTTATACAGTATTGTGGATTTCACCATGTCAGTAATTGCTTTGGCACTGAGAGGTGAAACAATTTGCCCCTTTGATAAACATTTTTACCTTCATTATTGCATTATTTCATTATTGCTATTAGATCACTGGTTCTTCTTTGTATCCTGTTCCACTGTTACTTTTTCAAAAGGAAAATGAACAGAAATGAAAACAAAATAATTTAATTTCCCCACAAGTGGGAATAATAAGTGTATATAGAGAATTATCTAACTACAAATGAATATTCTGATTGAATATAACAAGAGGGCTCACAAAGTTGTTCTTAATGTAGTTCTTAAAATAACTTGCAGAACAAATGGCTTCAAAATGAAAGACTGGATTTAGGAATTTGAGACTAGATAATAGACTAAAACTAGACCCAGCTGGAATTTTGCCCCACACATCCCAAAATGCCTTAATATAGATTTGCTTTCATATTTTCTCAGTAAATTTTCTGAGTTTCTGAATTATTAATCATTTGAATATATTTTTCAAACAGGACTAACTGCTGTACTCACTAAGTTTAGGGATATCATTTTGAAAATACAACACTTTCTCACTTTTTTATAACACCGTGAAATATTCCCACTCTTGTAAAGCATTCAGGGGCTAACTCCCTCTGCTCTTCTTCAGCAAATTGCATTAATATCAACCCTGTTAGAATACGGACTATTGCACAAAGGTGTTTTATTTCCATATTCTTCACCACCTGATCTCATGGCCTTCCCGAGTGAGTTTACCAATTTATTGTAATTTGTGCCAAATAATTGGAAAGTTTGTGTGTGGACTTGCACCCATTTAGAATTGGGTTGGGCAAACTTATTTCACAAAATAAACTTATAGCTGGCAAAGAGAGTGGAGACTTCATACATCAATGTGGTCTGGATTCAAACCAGGACCTAAGGGACAGTTCTTTAACCTACTGCACTATCCATCAACTATAATGGGAGCCTTCACACCTTCACTAAGATTGTGATTTTTTTGTATAGTGAGCAGTTTATGATTTTTTTTTAACAATGTGACTTGATGATGAAACTCATAGCTGATGACAATGATGGCAATATCATCTGCAATTTATTTCTTTCAGCTTGCAGTAAATTGGACACAGTTGACATCATCTTCTTAATAGATGGTTCAGGAAGCATAAACGTTGAGGATTTTGCAAAAATGAAAATGTTCATGAATTCTATTGTAAACAAAACTAGTATCGGAGCGGATAAGGTTCAAGTCGGTGCAATACAGTTTGGTTCATATCCACGGCCAGAATTCCAACTTAATACTCATTCTACAAAACCTGACTTACAGCAGGCAATATATAACATTCAGCAGTTGGGAGGGGGAACTCAAACAGGTCGTGCACTGACATTTACTGCAGATTACTTTGATGGAGCAAGAGGAGGTCGACCTAATATTGCACAGTACCTCATAGTGATTACAGATGGAGAGGCACAGGATGAGGTCCTTGCACCTGCTAAAGCTTTAAGAGATAAAGGAATCACTGTTTTTGCCATTGGTGTCTTCAACGCTAACAATACTCAGCTTCTGGAGATTGGAGGATCCCCAGATAAAGTCCATTATGTTGAAAACTTTGATGACTTGGATGATCCAGAGAAACAAATCTTCTGGGAGATCTGCAGTGTACCGAATGGTTAGTATAATGTACCATTAATACTATACAGAATAACTTAAAGCTAAAAGTGAACAGTTGAGGGATTTTGTTTACGGTTTTTTCTAACAGTTCCTTAATAATGAATCTCAATGGCAAGTTACTTGGTTTTTAACTGGTTAAATTTCAGGAGGATCCCAGCATACACTCTGGGGTCCCAGAGCCTTGGCTCTTGCCAAACTGTGCTTAGTACTCTTCAGAATTAGGTAAGCAGGGTATGTCGTTCCAGGGGGAGAGCGCACATTCCATTCCAAACACAGAAGTTTCCATGTGTAAGTGGCATATGTAGAACTCAGACTGGTTTGGACACTTTTATGCATGGTGATGGGTTTCTGCATGCGTAAGGCTCCAGTTAACCAATAAAATTACTGATAATGTTATTGCTATTTTTCTCCTCCAGATTGTGCAAGAACAGATGTGGGAGATATTGTCTTTGTAATAGATGGATCAGGCAGCATACAACAACGTGACTTTGAGAGCATGAAAAGGTTCATGGTAGCATTGGTGAACAACTCAGATGTTGCCCCTGACAAGGTTCGGTTTGGGGCTGTAGTGTATGGTACCACACCTGTAGTCCAATTCCAGCTGAACCAGTACAAGACCAAAAGTGATGTCCGAGAAGCCATTTATGGGATGCAAAGGGAAGGGGGATCGACATTCACAGCACTTGCCCTTAAGGAGGCAAAGGGGCTCTTAACTACCGAGGAAGGTGGTCGGAGATCAGACAGGGTTGCACAGTTCCTCATAGTTATTACTGATGGTAAAGCCACAGATTCGGTTAATGTACCAGACACATCTAAAGATATTAGAGATGAAGGCATCAACATCTTTGCTGTGGGAGTAGCTGAAGCCAACGAAGAAGAGCTCCAGACAATTGTTGGTCCAACAGGAAACTACTTTTATGTTCAGAACTTTGAAACGTTGAAAAGCATAACTGGAGATATTTCAAAGGTGATTTGCGCCAACACCAACCCAGGTAAATGATTGATTATGAAAAAAAGAACAGGTGGATTTGGGGTAAACTGATTGAAATTAGGTTAACCTAATTTTGGAGTACTGTTAGCCATTTCTTTTTTAAGGATAATATTTGCATACAGTTCTCACTGTCTTTCAAGCCCCTAGTTGGGCATTATATAAGAGTACAGGAACACACAGACATTTATGGGTGTTAAAAAGCCAATAGCAACCAGCTATTGTAAGTTTCTCACAATATTCAGAGGAATCTCTGAACACGGGATGGTGGTTCCAGGTATACAGGGTATGATTCTGGGCTACTGCAATGTAGTTATAGACCATGAAGCAGGATATAATAATGGAAACTGGAGGGTCAGTTATGTGCCGCAACTGGGTGGCCAGAGTTAAAACATTTCTCCTCAATAGGACTAAAATACCCGCAAGACTATTTCATCTTAAAATTTAAAATAATTGCAGAATTCTGGACAATTCCTGAATCCAGTTTCATTCAGGAATGAATGATTTAGAATGTGATTTTCTGCAAATCTCAAAAGACCAGCTTCTAAATCAAGATTACATTTGTGAATTATTCACAATTCTGCATATTTTTGCATTTTAAGATAAATAGTCTTATAGGCAAGACGAGGTGGAATTCCAGGCAATATGCCTTTCTCTGTTTACATGTAGTGTCAAATGTTGTAGTGGATGTGGCACCTTCATATATTAATTAAATGCCTTTATGCTAATTTAGTTATGCTCTGTTGCACACATCCTCATCCATACCAAACTCTGTACCCTCATCACCCCAGTCCTTGCCCAGGCTCCATTGCTTCCCTGTCACTGAATGGTCACTTCGTGTCCCAGCATTTCCATCCCTTTCCAACCTGCTCACACTCCACTACTCTGCCCATCCCTTTTTCCTCGGCCAGCTCGGACCTTTCAATTTACTGTGCCATTTGTAAATTGAAACACTGACTGTGTTTTATCAAAAAATTATCAAATTTTGTGTAAACTGGGCATGTACACGCTGGAAAAGAGAAGGTTGACAGGCGATATGACAGCATTTTTTTTAAGATTCTAAGAGGAATGGATCGTATAGACCATGATAAGCTGTTTTATTTGGTCCAGAACCAGAGGACATGGCTTGCGATTGAAGCGAGATAAATTCAAAGTAAATCTGAGGAAACACTATTTCAGTGAGCGAGTAGTAAATGTATGGAACAGGATCCCTAAGGAGACGGTGGAAGCAGAAAGTCTTGATTCTTTCAAAAGAAAATAACATAGATCTCTTTTAGGAAATAATATTGTGAGATATAGTATATAGTTTGAGACATGACAGGTGCACACCACTGCCAGGTGGTGGAAGGCCAACTGGATGGACCTTGGTCTTTTTTCGTCCAGCAATTCGTATGTTGTTAAGTTAATTATGACAACATTAAATGAGATGACTGATACTTTACAGCATGTTATGTAGTCTGATTATGTCTAGAAATATATCAATAAATTGTAGTGTCATATATAATTTTACATCAGTGTTTATTAATATCTCTTGACAGAGTGTAAACTTCAGCAAGCAGATATTGTTTTCCTCGTTGATGGATCCGAAAGCATTGAGGCAGAAGACTTCAGGCAGATGAAGGCTTTCATGAAAAAAATTGTGAACGCTTTTGAGATTGCCCCGAACAAGGTCCAGATCGGACTGGCTCAATTTAGCACGCTTTTCCGTAAAGAATTCTTCCTGAAGGATTTTTCAGAAAGAACTTCATTAATTGCCGAAATCGAGGGAATCGTCCAAATGAATCAGGGATCTAACATTGGATTTGCGTTAACAAATGTGAACAGTCTCTTCACGAGAGAAGCTGGTAGCCGGAAGGCTGATGGAGTGCCCCAATTCCTATTGCTAATAACAGATGGCCGATCCAATGATGAGGTGGTTGCACCCGCTAATGCTCTGAGAGATGAGAACATAAATATTTTCGCACTGGGCATAGGAAAGGCAGATATAAATCAGCTGTTACAAATCACAGCCTCGCAGGATACAAAATATTTTGTTGAAACTAGTAAAAATATAGAAAAGATTACGCCGAGAATTGTCAGGAAAATCTGCAAGGACATGCCAAGTAAAGGTATGTGTCAAACACTATGTGACATTGTCCTTCATAAAAGGCGCTATGCGAATGCACATTGCTGTTGCTGTATGTGACAGTTTTATAGTACATCAGTTATTATGGCTAAATGCTGTAATAACCTTTGAACTCACAGCATGGGTGGGTGGGCCTTCAGCCTCTCTTGCTGCCACCCTTTGGAACTCCATTCCACAGTCCCTCTGCCTCGTCCCCTCCCTTGCCTGCTTCAAGATGCCTCGCCCCCTCCCTTGCTTCATCTCAAGACCCTTCTCTTCGATCGTGGCTTCGCTCACCCTCCTACCCCAAATCGCCGCGCACCCTGATCTCAACTACCAGCTTGGGTGCAGATCCCTGACTGCCCAACGCCTTGGGACGTTCTCCTGACATGAAAGGCACTATAAAAATGTAATTTGTTGTTGCTGTTTGCAATTTACAGTTGTATTTAAACAAAATAAAATAAATTAAAGGAAAATCTTGCATTTTCTGCTCATTAAATAGAGGAAAATGCAATATTCCTGCATCTAATGAGCAGATTGTCTGACCAACAAACACTCCAGTTCTGGTTAGATATAAAGTAAAGCTACCTCTTCTTGTCCCCCAATGCTATACTTCAGCCTTAACCTCATCCTCACGAGCGCAACATTTGCTGGACTTAGAGTGTAGCCTGGTAATTTCGCTGTGATAATAAATTAGGTAAATTCTTGTCTCTTCCAGATTGCACAGTAGATGTTGCTGTGGGATTTGACGTTCCCAGGCAGAAACGGTTTTCCAATATCTTTAGCGGAGCACAGAGACTCCAGACACATCTGAATGATATCTTACAGAGAATGGTGAGCTTACAGAATGTCAGCTGCAGCTCGTATCTGAACATCAGAGTGGGATTTCACATAAAGAACGAAGCTGGAGGGACAGTCTTCGAATCAGCCTTTGAAAAATACAATGAAGATATCGTGAAGAAATTGAAAGAAATTCAGTTGTCAAGAACGGATCAAATTGATTTGACTGCCACCTATTTACAATCATTTTCAAGCAAATTTGAGCGGGAATCAGGAACAAATGTAAAGGTAAGAAATATTATCCTAAGAATCCTTTTTTTTTTAAAACGCTGTTTATCTTCCCCCTCTCCTTCAGGCTGGAGGGAGGAGGGACGTTTGCCTAAGTGGTCATTCTTCATTTTTGAATTCACAAAGTTAGTGTCTGCATGATATTTGACTATTATGACCATCGAGTTGCGTCAAAATCTGTCTTCACAAAATGCTCATATGTTCACCTAATGTTCATAACTGTGCACTTCATAAACATGCAATTCCAGCAGGGAATAGTCATAAAGCCATAAAGAAGAGGAAGTCCATCTGATTTTTCTTCTAATCAGCCCATGTTCAGGGTAGGGTAGAGTTGGTGGGGAATGGAGTGAGATCAGTAGATTTGGCAGAAGGCAATGGTGCCTTGTGGTCAAATTATGTTATCCAGGTTACAAACGACTATTTAGGTAAAGCATCAGTGAGTGCTGGAACCTATGGGGTGGTACTCTAGCTATATTCAAGGTTATAATTTTATAGACAACTTTTTCCAAGAGTTTCTTTAAATAAAAAAAATCTCTTTGCAGGTGATTGTGATTTTTACAGATGGAGCAGATGACAGCATGGACAGACTCAAGGAAACATCAGACAGACTCAAGCTTGATGGTAATTAGTTCTGCGTTTAAATCTTTAATGTTTTTTTCTTACAATCATAGCTTGAAATAGCAGCCTTTTTGTTACATCTTTACAATGGGGAAAAACTTACTATTTTAGGGATCACTTTAAGACAGCAATTAAGAAGAGTCCTGAAAGGAGACAGAGCTCAAGTAGAACTATACGTAACAAGTAACTAATCAGTGATTTAAAAATAAAAGATTTTGTTTTTTTATTTTGGATTTTAACACGTGTTACTGCTGAAGAAGTTTAAGCAAGCCTCCACTGTGGGGCAGTACCGCTCTTATTAAACAGAGATGAATTCTCTTTTAGTTCAAAGAAGTCAGCAGATTTGAAACAAAGAAATGTCCTCCCCACTAGAATAAATAATGGAAATGTTAATGGGAAATTTAAGGTTAATTCCTACAATTATTGTATAATTTATTGGAGGAATGTGCAGGTATCCAGAATTTTCCAAATAATCTTCCTTTTAATTGTGCCTTCTATTCCATGACATTGAAAGGTCTGCAGTATGGAAATAGCAGTTTGCACAAGAGAACTTCCTTCTCCTCTCTTGCCACTACTGGCCAATATAAAGTTGAGAGCTCAAGCCTATCAGTGGTCATAATAATATAATTGTGGACGTTTCGAAAAACAGAGAAAGACTCTTGGGAAAAAATGTAGCTCTAAAACAAAATTGGGGAGAAATTCTACCCAGGTCTATTTATGTAGCATTTTAGAATGTCCAAATTGCAATTACATTTTTTATAGTTCATAATTTATAAATTATCAAACTGCGGTTAATCTGAAAGAATGAATACCTTTGTCAGTTTGGTGACATGACTCGGTCATCATCCACCTCATTGTGAAAGAATGAATGAAACATGAAAGACAATTCAGTCCTGGTGAATGACATAACAGGTTAACTGGCAGTGATGATACTAGTAATAAAAATAGGACTGTTGTGCTATCCATTGGTAATGCAAATAATTTCAGTAACATGTGGGACTTGCTTTACTCTGTGCTAGGTGTGAATATGCTAATCACTGTTGCTCTGGAAAATACACCAAGCCTTGATGACATTCTAAACATAGAGTTTGGACGAGGATTTGGATATAGACGGCGATTGACAATTGGGATGCGTGATATAGGAAGTGCTTTGCTCACAGAAATTGTAAGTGACTATTTAGGGCGACATTAAAACAGGTTTTTCATTTTTAGTAATTTCTTTTTAAAATCTGTAATTTAATTTGAATCAACATAATTTAGCAAAAAAAATTAAATAACAAACAAAGTATACCTGGTTAACCATTTGGTTTACTAAAGGCTTGTTTTCCTTTTGTTCTAAGCTCTCCCCCGGATGGCTGGTTGACTTTCAATTTAAGAAACACCAACATATTATTATTTTCTAAAAAAATATATATTTTTAAAGACTTCCTGGGAAATGTTAATACATTGCTCCATCTATCTGAAGTCCTTTCCCATTTCTCGTTGGTTATCATCCAGTTTTGCTGAATATCAAGTTTAGTAAAAAATTCTTTGGTTGGTGCATCATGTCGAATTATTTGTTGCTCATCCATTACATATAAAATGATATGTGAGAACAAATTCAACCTAGGTCTAAATTTACTATTATTAAAATAATAATAATCCATACATTTGATATAGCTTCTTTCATGTTGTAAGGACGTCTCAAAGTGCTTCACAAGTTATACTGTAAAATATACCGATTGTATACTTCGTAATTTTGCGTTCAGCAATGTCCCAAAGCAGCCATGGAGTGAGTGACCAATTTTATTTGAGGCATTGCCTTTTATTTGTGGCATTGCAACTTTGCCTTTTGTTTAATTTTATGTAGGTATTGTTGACCAGGAGACCGGGAGAAATTCCATTCTATTTTCAAATAGTGTCATGGTAACTTTAATGGCCACTTCAATGTAATGTCTCATCTGAAGGATGGCACTTCCAAAATGTTGTGTAATGTAGTGTCAGCCTGGATTATATGGATTCCAAGTCTCAATGTGGAGCCTAAACCCACAACCATTGCTACTAACTGAGCCAGGCTGACATACTCTATTTATGTAGCATTTTGGAATGTTCAATTAAGACATTAAGTTTAATGTCAGTTTTCTGCATTTCTTAAAAGAACCTACAGAAAACTGGCTTCAAAATGAAGACAGCGTTAAAGAATTAAAGAATTTGCCAAATTCAGGAGAATCTGAAAAGCTCCGTTTAAATTGCCCTTGAATGTTTTCTTTCTCCAGGACACAGTTGCAGAAAGAAAATGTTGCAATGTGTTTTGCAAGTGTATAGGACAACCAGGTGCACGTGGTCTTCAGGGAGGTCAAGGATTTAAGGTAAGACATAGTACAGAATGGGCCTTGTTAGAATGTACTTGAAAAATATAAAAATGTTTAAACATATTAACTCTGGGATATTTCTCCAGTTGCTAGAAAATCTACCAACATTGGTAAGTAAGCTGATGGTTGGTAAAGATCCTATCCAATTTGGTGGTGTGAATTTATAATGAGATTTTGCCATTGTAGGTTGGTTAAACTTATTGCCAACTTAGTGAATTACCCCACCCCCTCCTCCTGACAGGAATTTCTATTGTGAACTTAAAGCACTTCCAATTTCTTGTGTTAAGGCTGTTTATTCAATTTAAGAAAAACAGGAAAGCGACAATTAGAAACACTCTCTCTAATTGGAGCTCAAATGCTTATATATTGATCTTATTGCAGGGAATTGAAGGTCCAAAGGGAGTTCCTGGTTATCCAGTGGAAGAAGGAGACACCGTAAGTTGATAAATTTTAAAGTTTGTGAAATATAAAATGGAAGCTCTAAATTATCGGAGTTGAACAGGTCAATTGCTAAGACAAGTGATCTTTTCATTACATTTTTATAGTGATAGTCTCCATTATTCAACCATTGCCTCTGTCCTCCCAAGGCCACATTTCCACTACCTGGGAGCATGGAGTCAAAGTGTTTTGTGCATTGCATAGTGTATTTAATCAACTCAGTCTATACCTATCACTGGAACCTCCAGCCTCATTGGCAATCAAATGTTTGTTAAAGTTATGATGATTGCAGGAAAATGATGTAGTACCCTCTTTAATGTAAATAAAATTTTTTTTTTTTTTTAGGGTGACAGAGGTTTTCCAGGTATTAATGGAACTGAAGGAACTGAAGGATGTCAAGGTCCTAGAGGCCCTAAGGCAAGGGCTTAGATAAATATGTATCAATTGAACTAATACATTACAGTAGTCATGTTTTGACTGAATATTTGCCTTAACCTTCACGGGCGTGCCCTTGCCTGGATCGAATCCTATCTCTCTTACCGTCTCCACTTTGTTGCCTCTAACAGTTTCTCCTCCAGCCCCGCACTGTCACATCTGGCGTCCCCCAGGGCTCTGTCCTTGGCCCTCGCCTCTTTAATATCTACATGCTCCCCCTTGGTGACATCATCCGCAGACATGGGGTCAACTTCCATCTGTATGCGGATGACATCCAACTCTATCTTTCTGCCTCCACCCTCAACTCCAGGACCACTGCTGTCCTGACAGACTGTCTGTCGGACATCAAGTCCTGGATGAGGGCAAATTTCCTACAGTTGAATGTGAACAAGACCGAGGCCCTCCTGATTGGCTCACACCAGAGCCTCTGCACCTCAGGCTCTGGCAGCATCAACCTCCATGGTTGCACACTATAACTCACCAAGCCATCAGGAGCCTAGGTGTCTTGTTCGACCCTCAACTGTCTTTCTTCCCCACATCCAAGCCATGACCCGCTCTGCCTTCACTCACCTCCGTAACAGCGCCCGACTCTGCCACTACCTCACCCCTCAAGCCGCTGAAACTCTTGTTCATGCCTTCATCACCTCCAGGCTCGACTATGCAAACGCCCTGCTTGTTGTCTTCCCAAATTCTCCCTCCACAGGCTGCAGATAATCCAGAACTCTGCAGCCCGTGTCCTCTCCCGCATCAAACTCCGTGACCCCATCTCCCCCATTTTCGCCTGACTCCACTGGCTCCCTATCCTTCAGAGGAACCAGTTCAAAATCCTGGTCCTCACCTACAAAGCCCTCAATGGTCTCGCCCACCCTACCTCTGCGGCCTCCTAACCCCCTACCAAGCCGCCCGTTTCCTCCACTCAGCTGGCTCTGGTCTGCTCCACGTCCTCCGACCCACCCGCCCCACCATTGGCGGGACAGCCTTCAGCCACTCTGCCCCCAACCTCTGTAATTTCATCCCCCATTCACTCCGCCTCGTCCCCTCCTTAGTCTCCTTCAAGTCCCACCTCAAGACCTTCCACTTCGACAACCCATGGGAGTGGAAAGGGGTTCACCCCCCTTCCCCTCCCCTCCCTTCTCCCTCCCTGACCCCAGCTCGGGTCTGAAATGCTGTACACTGTCCAGCACCTTGGCGTCCTCCCGATGTGAAATGCACTATACAAATGTAACCTTGTTGTTGTTATTAACCAAACAAATCTTCTCTTTCAGGGAGCAAGAGGGTATCAAGGAGAAAAGGTAAATACGTTGGTTTTGAAGTTGAATGAAACCTTAAAGGTGTTTGTCTTAAACGTGTACCAGTTTTTTCTTATATTGCCTTCTACATGAGATGTCCTACCAATGTCCAGTTCTGCTCCCTGTGACCAGATGGGGATACCCAAGCCTTATAACAACAATAATAATAATCCTTGCATTTGATATAGCGCCTTATCACGTCTTTGAGATGTCTCAAAGCGCTTCACAGAACATACTGTAAAGTGAATTGACTCTATATTTTGTGGGCGAAATGCGGCAGACAATTGCGCACAGCAGTGTCCAGAAACAGTCGGAGATTGCAGGGATTGAGTGACCAAATTATTATTTTTTTTGAAAGAATTATTACTCCTGGAAAAACAATCAATTAAGAACTGGGTTCCTACTTAATGCTAGGTAAACGTGTGGAGTAAAGAAACTTGCTGGGAATCAAAATCAGGTCTCTCGCTTGCGAGGCAAGTGCTCTAACCACTGAGCTACAGGACTCCATGAGTCCATAAAAAGTGCCGGAGAGAACAATGAGGATGATCTCTAATGATAGAGGAATGAGCTCTGTTTAGCAATTAAACACGCTAAGCCTCTTAACACTTGAAAAGAGGAGACTCGGGTGGGACCGTACAGAGATGTATAACATTTTAAATGTCATTGAGAAAGGAAGCTCAGTCAGTATATTGGATATACTTAGACATCAGAACGAAGGGAGAGAAGTTGAGACTTGCAAAGGATAATTTCAGGACAGACATTATGTGTTTGTTTACCCAGAGAATAAGTAACGACTGGAATAGCTTAACAGGAAAGATGGTTGAAACCAGGTGATTTGACTAATTTTTAAAAAAAATGCTTGATGCTGTGATGGGCGGATGGTAGGGTAGGTATTCTGGAAGGATGAGATAAGATGGGCAAAAAGGCCTTCTTCATCTACCATTGTTCTGCCCTTTCCCATAATTTGTCTACATCCTTTTGCAGTATTTTACTTTCTTAGTTACCATTATCCCTCTCTCCCTATGTCCAGTTCATTAATATATTGGGTAAAAAGCTGGGACCCAGCCCTGATTGTTGTGATACGATACTTTCGTCTTCATGGGACAGCACTTGCAAAGAAACTTTCTTATCAATTTAACCTCAACATTGTTTTTCTCTCCACAGGGTGAAGAAGGGGTAAACGAATTTAATGGAATCACAGGGGAGCAGGTAATATTTTCTTTGTTATTCCGATTGTATGAGGTAAATTAATCTCTGTTGCACAGTTTGTGACAGGCTATACTGTATTGCTCCTTACAGTGCACCTCCCCCTATTATAGTGGATCCAAAATGTTTGTTAGCAGTACACAAGTATAAGAGAAAAGGCCTGTTGCTTAGACAAGTGATATGTATGTTTGTAAGCTTTTCAGCAAGATAAAAATACTCATTCTGATGGTGAAATAATCACTGTCTGTTTGCAAATGTTAAGTCGTTTGGCTGCTATTTCTGACTGACCGAGTACTGTAAATCTGTTGAAAATGCAGAGCTGTCATGTTTTTGAGCTACAACCTGATCCAACAGAAACTGGAAATATTTGCCAAAAATAGCAGGGAAATTTGACAAATATGGGAGAAAATTGTAAGCTTTTGTGAGGCATATCTTACTGCCAACCAACATTTTTTCACTTTATTGATAGAAACTAAACATGAAGAAATAACACATATTAGATTGTTGCAAAAAAATTAATGTTTACTTTAACAAAAACTGGGTGGCCCACTTGGGGCGAGGGGGGAAATTAGCCCTGACTGACGGGCTCCAGGAGGTCACCCACTCGTGCTTCTTGGGGCCCGTTACCGCACCCAGTGAGAGAGAGATACACACACACATAATCACACAGACTCACAGAAAGAGAGAGCGACACATATGCTCACAGACACAGAGAGACGCACACACTCACAGACACAGAGACGCGCACACTCACAGACACAGCGAGACGCGCACCCTCACAGACACAGCGAGACGCGCACCCTCACAGACACAGCGAGACGCGCACCCTCACAGACACAGCGAGACGCGCGCCCTCACAGACGCAGCGAGACGCGCGCCCTCACAGACGCAGCGAGACGCGCGCCCTCACAGACGCAGCGAGACGCGCGCCCTCACAGACGCAGCGAGACGCGCGCCCTCACAGACGCAGCGAGACGCGCGCCCTCACAGACGCAGCGAGACGCGCGCCCTCACAGACGCAGCGAGACGCGCGCCCTCACAGACGCAGCGAGACGCGCGCCCTCACAGACGCAGCGAGACGCGCGCCCTCACAGACGCAGCGAGACGCGCGCCCTCACAGACGCAGCGAGACGCGCGCCCTCACAGACGCAGCGAGACGCGCGCCCTCACAGACGCAGCGAGACGCGCGCCCTCACAGACGCAGCGAGACGCGCGCCCTCACAGACGCAGCGAGACGCGCGCCCTCACAGACGCAGCGAGACGCGCGCCCTCACAGACGCAGCGAGACGCGCGCCCTCACAGACGCAGCGAGACGCGCGCCCTCACAGACGCAGCGAGACGCGCGCCCTCACAGACGCAGCGAGACGCGCGCCCTCACAGACGCAGCGAGACGCGCGCCCTCACAGACGCAGCGAGACGCGCGCCCTCACAGACGCAGCGAGACGCGCGCCCTCACAGACGCAGCGAGACGCGCGCCCTCACAGACGCAGCGAGACGCGCGCCCTCACAGACGCAGCGAGACGCGCGCCCTCACAGACGCAGCGAGACGCGCGCCCTCACAGACGCAGCGAGACGCGCGCCCTCACAGACGCAGCGAGACGCGCGCCCTCACAGACGCAGCGAGACGCGCGCCCTCACAGACGCAGCGAGACGCGCGCCCTCACAGACGCAGCGAGACGCGCGCCCTCACAGACGCAGCGAGACGCGCGCCCTCACAGACGCAGCGAGACGCGCGCCCTCACAGACGCAGCGAGACGCGCGCCCTCACAGACGCAGCGAGACGCGCGCCCTCACAGACGCAGCGAGACGCGCGCCCTCACAGACGCAGCGAGACGCGCGCCCTCACAGACGCAGCGAGACGCGCGCCCTCACAGACGCAGCGAGACGCGCGCCCTCACAGACGCAGCGAGACGCGCGCCCTCACAGACGCAGCGAGACGCGCGCCCTCACAGACGCAGCGAGACGCGCGCCCTCACAGACGCAGCGAGACGCGCGCCCTCACAGACGCAGCGAGACGCGCGCCCTCACAGACGCAGCGAGACGCGCGCCCTCACAGACGCAGCGAGACGCGCGCCCTCACAGACGCAGCGAGACGCGCGCCCTCACAGACGCAGCGAGACGCGCGCCCTCACAGACGCAGCGAGACGCGCGCCCTCACAGACGCAGCGAGACGCGCGCCCTCACAGACGCAGCGAGACGCGCGCCCTCACAGATATAGAGATACGCATTCACAAACACACACACAGACAGACAGAGAGAGACAGGCGTGTAGCATAGGTGTGTGTGCAGTGAAGGGGGATTTGTATAGCAGAAGCTGTGTGTGCGTGTAGCGGAGGGGGTGCGTGTGGCGGAGTTGGGTGTGTGTGGCAGAGGGGGTGCATGTAGCGGAGTTGGGTGTGTGTAGCGGAGTTGGGTGTGTGTAGCGGAGTTGGGTGTGTGTAGCGGAGTTGGGTGTGTGTAGCGGAGTTGGGTGTGTGTAGCGGAGTTGGGTGTGTGTAGCGGAGTTGGGTGTGTGTAGCGGAGTTGGGTGTGTGTAGCGGAGGGTGTGTGTGTGGCAGAGTTGGATATTTATAACGGGGCGGGGGTGTGTAGCGGAGGTGGGTGTGTGTGTGTAGCGGAGTTGTGTGTGTGTAGCGGAGTTGTGTGTGTGTAGCGGAGTTGTGTGTGTGTAGCGGAGTTGGGTGTGTGTGTGTAGCGGAGTTGGGTGTGTGTGTGTAGCGGAGTTGGGTGTGTGTGTGTAGCGGAGTTGGGTGTGTGTGTGTAGCGGAGGGGGGTGTGTGTGTGTAGCGGAGGTGCGATATACAGAGGAGGCTGTGTGTGTCACGGTGGGGCGGGGCGCACTTTTCTATCGGCCCAGGCTATAACCATCAACAGACCATTATTACTGATTAATTTGAAGAGTTTTCAAAGATTGCTGCTAATACCGTGTCAATATTAGACTTGCCGCGGAAAACCCCAGCAAGCCGGGCTTAACATTGTTGAACCAGCATACAGATTTTATTTCTCGTCAAATACCGACCTATATCTTTGTTTCTGCTCAACATTTCTGTACCACAATCATTTCTTAAAGTAGCCATCATCACCCCTATCCTCAAAAAAAACCTTCCCCGGACCCATCCCTGCTCTCGAATTACCGCCCCATCTCCAACCTTTCCTTTCGAAGGCCCTTGAATGAATCGTTGCTTCCCAGCTTCGCTCCTTCCTCTCCTCGCCACTCCCTACACGAATCCCTCAAATCGGGTTTCCGTGCCGCCCACAGCACAGAAGCAGCCGTGGTGAAATTGACAAATGACGTTCTGTCCATCTGTGACCAGGGTCTTGTTGACGTTCTTGTCTCTGTCTCCTCGTCCTCCTTGAACTCTCTGCTGCCATTGATACTGTTGACCACTCTATCCTCCTCCACTGCCTCTCCTCTCACCTCAACCTTCACAGTTCTGTCCTTAAGTGGTTCAGATCTTACCTCTCACACCGTCTCGACCAATGGCTTCTCCTCCAGCAACCACACCATTTCGTGTGGCGTTTTTCAGGGCTCTGTCCGTGGTCCCCTCCTCTTCAACTTGTACATGCTCCCTCTTGGTGACATTATCCCCAGACAAGGGTTCAACTTTTACATGCATGCGGATGACACCTTGCCTCCACCCTTGACTGCAGGACCACTGTTGTCCTGACAGAATGTCTGTCAGATATCAAGTCCTGGATGAGAGCAAACTTTCTACAGTTGAACGTCAACAAGACCGAGGCTCTCCTGATTGGCTCCCGTCAGTGCCTCCTCACCTCAAGTGCTGACAGGATCATCATCCATGGATGCACACCCCACCTCACTGAGCCAGTCGGGATCCATTGCATCTTGTTTGATCCTCAACTGCCCTTTCTACTCCACATCCATGCCATGACCCGCTCTGTTTTTCCTTACCTCCGGAACATCGCCCGGCTCCGCCACTGCCTCCCCACTCAGGCCTCATCCACGCATTGATCGAATCTTGGCTCGACTACACCAACTCTTCCTGTTGGATACTTATTAAGACAATAAGGACGAATTGATATATAATATTGATGCAATAAAAATTACTAAGAGAGTGCATACAGAAAAAGGAGTGGATGATATCGCTATGGTGCACGGAAGAAAGAAAATAGTTAAGGTGCAAAGTGGATACAAGAGCTCAGACCAGTGTAATGTCATTAGAAGAGTATACCCAGCTGGGAGAACCCAATAAAGACAAATTAGAAAAAGGCAGCAGCAGACTATTGGCCTATAACAAAGGAGAGATAGTACAAAGATAAAGCATATAAGATAAAGTTTCACATTGTAAAATTAAAAGCTGATACTCTGCTCGGACTGCAAGATATCATTGAAATGGGATTGCTCAAAAAAATTTGGAGTGTGGAAACAGAAGACTACAAACAAATGGAGATGGATGAAATACTGGAAAAAATCAACCAGTTTGGGGGAAAAGGGGATTGATGAAAGAGTTGAATGACAGAACATCTGAAACTATAGTGGAAAAAACAAGGAAATCTTTGCCCGACATAGAATGCCAAAGGAGATAATTAGTGACAACGGACTCCAATTTTCAAGCAAGGAACACAAGACATTCACAAGGCAGTGGAAAATGACAAAACAACTTCACCAGGATATCCCAAAGCAATGGTCTGTTGGAACAAGAAACACCGGCTGTCAAGAAAATGTGAAAGAAGTCAGAAAATGCAAAGGCAGATAAGCACCTGGCAATTGTGACCTATAGAGACATGTCGAAAGACAATGAGAAACACTCACCAACACAAATACTGATGTCAAAAAGGTTAAGAGATTTGTTAATCTCGGAAGAGAAAATATTGAGACCACAGGTACAACACAATAGAAATGGAAGGAAAACACAACCAGGAAAGGAGAAACCATTTAAAGAGGAGAGAGAATATGGTTCAGCAAGAAAAACTGAAATACAGAAGGTTGGACAAAAGGGGAAATTTGAAAGAAGGCTAAAAACCCAATATCATATTGGCTTAAAAGTGATAAAGGAAAAATATACAGGACATCACGGGAAATTGGCCAAAGAAGGACCGAGGAAGAAAACGAAGAGCAGAAGGAAGATCCGAGGATGCCAGAAACATCAATAACCACCAGATCAGGCAGAGTAGTAAAACCAACAAGGAGATTAATTGAACAAGACTGAGACACAAATTAAAAACAGAAGAGACCAAAAAGGGGAAGATGTTGGATACTCATTAAGACAATAAGTACCAATTGACTAGGACCAATGGAAGGTGATCAGGAGGTAGAAAAGCAGCAAAGAAGGGAGAACTGAATAGAGGAATTTTGGTTGGACTTTTGATTTTGTAACTGGTGAGCTGAAATAAGCGTGTTCTACACATTGTTTGTTGAGCACGTAACATTTCCCTCCACAAGCTGCAGATCCTCCAGAACTCTGCAGCTTGTGTCCATGTCCGCACCAGGCTCCGTGACCCCATCACCCCAACCTTCGCCCAGCTCCACTGGCTTCCTATCCAGAGAATGCCCCACCATCGGTGGCCCCACCTTCAGCCTCTCTGCCCCTAACCTTTGGAACTCCATCCCACATTCCCTTCACCTCACACTTCCTTGCCTCCTTCAAGGAACGGCTCAAGACCTTCCTCTTCAACCGCACCCTCGGCTACCCTCCCTGCCGTCAGCCCTCCCTGATCCCAAACCCCACCCACGCGGCTTCAAATCCCTGACTGTCCAGTGCCCGATGTGAAGGACGCTATCCAAATGTAACTTTGTGTTGTATTTTTTAAAAAGTAGCTTATTTTGTCTTTCTAACATAATTTTGGAAATACAGTAGGGAACTTATTTTCCGTACTATTTCAGACCAATCCCATTGTGGATATATAAACAGTATGGATAATGGGCCATTTCACAAAATGCAAATTGGCTTCAATGCTAACTAATTCAGTTCTGATATAAGGAGATGGCCCAGGCTCTAAGTTCAGTGCAGAGAAAAAACAACAATTTGATCCCTTGTGTTCCACGAATGAGTAATGAGCAACTATTAGTCAAGCTAGGGCATGATTACGAAATTGTGCAAACAATTAAGCATCATTTAAAATACAAATTATTTCTGTCCTAACCAAAATATTATTTTTCTGGAGTTCTCTTAACTTCCTAACTGGAGTGTCCCTAACTTTCTAGCCCTCTATCTTTTTCTATGACATTCCCTTTATCATTCTGCTATAACTGTCTTTTTCACTTTCTCTGACTCTCCATATTTCTAACGTTAAACCCGTAAATTGACAAATACTAAATTAACACCTACTTTTACACTGTCAACTTGCAATTGAGCTGTGCGGATAAATCCTAGCATGGATTTTGCAATATTGTAGCCCTGCAATACGTTCCACATCAGAGTCTAATGGAGATAAATGGATGTGTGGATAGTTGGGGTGCGTAGTTGTGGAGTTCTTCAGTAAATGGTGTTCTACTGTACAGCAAGTAAAATTACTCAAAAACAGCAAATTACATTTGTATAGCACCTTTCACGTTGGAAGGATGTTCCAAGTGAGGATACAAGAGCAGAGTTCTGGATGATCTGCAGCTTGTGGAGGGAAGACTTGGGATGTCCTCTCACTGTAGATGGCATAAAATGTAGATGGACAAACAGGTATTTGGACCCAAGCAAGAGGTTAGGATTAGGAGGGGTGGAGGGCAGGGAGGGTAGGGTTAGGAGAGTGGCTAAATGCACGGTCAAAGAAGAGGGTCATGGGATGTGCCTGGATGGAGGCAATGGAGAGAGCAAGGTGAAAGGACTGTGGGATGGAGTTCCAAAGGTTGGGGGCAGAAAGGCTGAAGGTCTGACCGCCGATGGTGTGGTGGGCAGGGCAGGTCGCAGAGGTAGGATGGAGCAAGGCTGTGGAGGGCTTTGAAGGCAACGATGAGGATTTTGAACTCTATCCTCTGGGCGATGGGGAGCCAGTGGAGCTGGGTGAAGGTGGGGTTAATAGAGTCACAGAGCCTGGTGCAGGAGAGGACACAGACTTTATTAGATCTGTGTGATCTGCAGCTTGTGGAGGAAAGAGTTGAAAAGGCCAAAAAGCAGGGAGTTGGCAAAGTCGAGTCAAGATATAACAGATTTAACAGATTTGTGTTAGTGGTCCACAGCTGTTTCATGTGGCTAATTGCCATACTTTTTTCTTCTTGTTACTTCGTTTCCACATGATAATATTTATCATGCTATTGTATGTTTTAGATTGAGGGATATGGCGATAAGGCAGGGTTATGTTATTAGCTGGAGTTAGATTAGAAGATCAGCCTTGATTGAACGGCGGGGCAGGCTCGAAGGGCCAAATGGCCTACTCCTGCTCCTACATGTTATGAAATAAACGCTATTTACAAATCATGTTTTCACAGGGGAATCCTGGACTTCCTGGTGCCCGAGGGGTTAAAGGAGACCCTGGAAATCCGGTAACATTTTAGATAGAAAATAATTGAAACTCTGTTTAAAATGTAGAGAATATACATGTACGTGTAAAACTTTTCGGCTGGATGTTTTGTCACATGTGGAAACCCATCTCGATGTGTAAGCCTATTCAGAATGAGAGTTGCATATATGCTTGCTACTTATTCATGGATATTCCCTGGGCCTGGAACACTGTGTACACTCTCTCTTTAGAGGGTTACACCCTGTTAACCTAATTATGAAGAGCATCAGACTTGTCCAACACTGACATCAGCCCAGAAGGACTCCTCTCATGACTGCCATGATTGACAAGAGACCTCAGCCAGTGGAATAAAAGATTTAGGATTGTTCTTGTGTAGTTGCAATCCCTTACGGAGTGTTTAATTTCTCTGCTAACTTTTTTTAGTCTCAAACTTTGCTCGTTTGTAAACTGTCTTTAAAGTTGTCTAGCTTGCTCTGAAGAGTCTTCCAGTCCTACTTTAAAGGATCACATGCGTGTAAAACTCATGCAGTGGAACAACACAGGCAGCAGTTTGCTGTTCTTTCTCCGCACTGAACACGTGTAGGTCCATCATAGATATAATTTAAGATCCTTTCTTCTCTCTAGTTTTCTGTTCCCCATTTTTGATGTTTCATAAACTCAATCTGAAAACATCCCCACTTTTCCATTTGAAAAGTATTTTATTCAGTTTTACCAATTTGCTGTGATGTTGTATGATCATTTTCCTTTCAGTGCCTGTGGGTCTTTGTGCTAATATACATTTTTAGATGATGCTTAATCAGTGGTAAGTGAATACCTTTATTAATTTTCTAACATTAAATGAGCAACAAAATGGACAAAACAATATACAAGAACATACATGTTTGGTAATTCATTAATTTTTAAATACGTTATTAGTTGGAGGAAGGGAGAGAAAAATTTAACATGGCAAATAAGCATCATTTTGAATAAATATGTCATATTAACTTCTCAGGGGTTGAAAGGCTCAAGTGGATTCAGAGGTGACCGTGGAGGCTATGGTTTAAGTGGAGACCCTGTAAGTGAAAAACAAAGTAAAGCAAAAACTACAAATATCATTTATTATTTATAATCTCCAGTTGAACGTCAACAAGACCGAGGCCCTCCTGAATGGCTCCCTTCAGCGCCTCTACACCTCAGGCACTGGCAGCATCACCATCCAAGGATGCACACTTCACCTCATTAAGCCAGTCCGGTACCTAGGTGGCTTGTTTGATCCTCAACTGTCTTTTCTACCCCACATCCGTGCCATGACCCTCTCTTCCTTCCCTCACCTCTGCAACATCACCCAGCTCTGCCACTGCCTCACCCCTCAGGCCGCTGAAACCCTCATCCACCTATCTATTATACCTAGGCTCGACTATGCCAACTTCCCTCCACAAGCTGCAGATCATCCAGAACAATGTAGCGTGTGTCCTCTCCCACACCAGGCTCCATGACTCTCTCACCCCACCCTTCCCATCCCCCAGAGGATAGAGTTCAAAATCCTTGTCCTTGCCTTCAAAGCCCTCTACCACCTTGCTCCTCTGTTACCTGCTAACCCCATATCAACCTGTCCGCTCCCTCTGCCTGTTCCACGTCCCCTGCCCGGCCCGCTCTACCATCAGTGGTTGGGCTTTCAGCCTCTCTGACCCTACGCTTTGGAACGCCTTCAATAACCCTCCTACTCCTATCCTCCCTGCTCTCCACGCTTCCTAATCACAACCTCCTGTTTGGGTCCAAATCCCTGACTTGGGACATCCTCCCAACATGAAAGGCGCTGTAACAAAATAATGTGTTGTTGTTTTTATCAAGATGAATAACTAAGTAATTCTGATCTTTGCTGATCTCAGCTAAATTGACAGTAGAAGCACAATTAATCTCAACTTCTAAAGGCTAGGGAGAGGAAGAGTTATCTAGGATTGCTGCTCCTGATCTCTATCACTATTGACCGCTATTGAAAGTATATGTTTGGACACTGGAAGCGAACAGGATTGAACTTGGCCGTGATTTTTCCTTGCAGTCAAATTGTCTGGCAGAGTTAAAAAGAATCATTATTTTGTATTTTAGAAATAAATTTGTGAGATAGAAAATAGATATTGTTTTTGTGAAATTACAGTAGTTTTCCAATGCACAAACAAAAGATATAGTTAAGAGAGTTCATAGTTCTATACCTAAGAGGGTTTTGTGTCTAATGTGGGTGTCTTTATATTTCAGGGTGCTCCTGGAATAAATAATTATGATAAAGGAGTTAAAGGTAGTAAAGGATATCCAGGCTCACAGGTACACTTTTCAATAACCATTCGATAACCATATTCTATTATTGTTAATGTTTGGCAGATGATATATATGCAATAATCTGTAGTATCTCAGTGCCTTGGGATGTCCTCCCAACGTTATGTAATGTAATATTGTATTGTATTATTTTCAAGTCCAATTCAAGTTCACGGACACCAGGTGTGTGCTAACATTACGATCCTTGTATTTTGGACGGAATTAGTATTGAGAAGCTCTACAATACAATATGAAATGCAAAATTATGTTTGTAAAGCACCTTTCACATCGGGAGGATGTCCCAAGACACTAAACAGTCAGGAGTCAGGGATTTGGACCCCAGCGGAGGTGGGGGGGTGGGGGAGTTTGGGATCAGGGAGGATGGAGGGCAGAGAGGGTAGGAGGGCGGCCGAAGGCACGGTTGATAAAGAGGTTTTTGAGTTGTGCCTTGGAAGGAGGAAAGGGAGGGAGCAAAGCGAAGGGAAGGTGGGATGGGGCAGAGAAGCTGAAGGTCTGACCGCTAATGGTAGGGCGAGCCGGGTGGGGGACGTGGAGCAGGCCGGAGCCTGCTGAGCGGAGGGAGCAGACAGGTTGATAAGGGGTTAGCAGGTTGGAGAGGTAGGATGGTGCAAGGCTGTGGAAGACTTTGAAGGCGAGGATATTGAACTTGATCCTCTGAGGGATGGGAAGCCAGTGGAACCAGGCGAGGGTGGGTGTGATGGGGTCACGACCACACCCATAACTACACGATTACTCACAAACATCTATTATCTGTGAGCACCTTCCAATGGCATATTAGCAAAGAGCATTACCATACAGCTTAATATTTTCAAGGAGCAATTTAATCTTGACATTATCTGTGAGAACCTCTAAATTGCATGTTATGAGCATTGAGAAATGCTGTGTAGCCTGTTAGCAGTGAGCACGGACGCAGTCCAGTAACAGCAGTGAAGGGTGGAGATAAGCGAACATATTAAACAATGACTTCCTGGAGTTTAAAAGTATACTCCTCAACATTTGACTCGTTTAAAAAAAACACACAGGTTGATCCTGTGGTGGGAAGACAGGATCAATATCCTGGAAGGATGAGAGTTAGTGGTCTGAAAATGCCTTCTTCATCTGGATCTCTCTTGTGAACAATTTTACCATCCTGGAATTAGAAGCTAGCATCTCTTTAAAGCTAGATATTAACAGTGGGAATATATATTGTCCAATAATAGCAGGGTGCAACTCTTACATCCTGATATTAACAATGAGTACTATACCCTCCTAACCTCTCTGCCCCCAACACCCACAACCCCACTCAGGTCCTAATCCCTGACTGTTCAGCTCCTTGGGACGTCCTCCCGATGTGAAAGGCGCTTTACAAATATAATTTGGTATTGTATATTAGTAGTTACCACCTGAACACAGCCTGATATTAGTAGTGAAATAATTAACACTTTAATATAGTGTGATATGTTGTAATTGTGGAACATCAGTCATGCACCAATATTTATTTTATAGTAATAAACTGTCTACCCTGAACACCTTGAATCATTTCACGGTATCCAATATGAATGGGAACCTTCTAATAGAAATGTAATCATGTGGCTGAATACTTACAATCTTTTCCACAACTCTGACATGGTCACATTAAATGCTAGCACCCATACTTAGCTTTCTCCACCAAATATGTGAAGTTAAAAAAGTGCAAATTGTTGTCGTTGTTTGAAAGGGTATTAGATTTCGGTGATTGAAAACTATGGAGAAACAAAAACAAAGCAGTAGAGCCCATAGAAATGCCAAATAAATTGCATATCAAAAATAATAATAATTCTTGCATTTGATATAATGCCTTATCAAGTCTTTGAGGCGTCTCAAAGCGCTTCACAGAATATATTGCAAAGTGAATTGAATTTATATTTTGTGGGTGAAATGTGGCAGCCGATTGCGCACAGCAGTTTCCCACAAAACAGTCATGGATTGAGTGACCAAATTATTATTATCATTTATTTTTTGAAGGGATTATTACCCACAGAGAATCAACTAATAACTGGGTTCCTACTTACTACTTGTTAAACAGAGGCATGTGGAGTAAGGAAACTTGCCTAACATTTCACCCTGTACACGAATCGAACCCAAGGCTTCTGAAATGAAAACAAAATAAACACTGTATATATATCTTTGTTTTTTTTCTTGGAAAGTCCATAAATGTTTTATTGAATGGATCATCAGTTTGGGAAATGGATAGGAACTCTTGAGATCCCATGATTTCAAACAAAAGTTTTAGAGAGTAGCTTGTTTGTTTGTTCCTTTGCCAATTGGCAAAGGAATGTATATAGCCAAATAAATGTGCAAGTCGGCGAACATAATACCAAAATAGCTTAATAAAATAGTTCCAAGAAAACAGATAAAATTAGTTATCTTTTGTCTGTTTCAGGGAAAGCTGCGTGAATATATGTGAATGTTCGAGTTGCTGCCCTGTTCCACTTAAAAACCCATGACATGAAACCAAAATAACATTAAGCCTTTCTTTTCTTTCACAGGGTGACTCTGGAAGCAGTGGTATACCTGGCGATATTGGTAGTATTGGATATGATGTAAGAAATGTTCTTGTAATTCAGTCAGATGTCATCAGTTCCCCCTCTCTCCCGTCACTAGATTTGTCTCTTATCTATAAACATACAAACTATCCTTCACATGTTGCTTAAAATCTAAATGTAAACTCACTGCTATTCCACCATTTTTTCTCTGCCACTCGACCAAAAATAAAATCTTAATATTTGCCTTTTCAAGGGGCGAACGGGCCGACGAGGATTTATAGGTGAAGTGGTGAGTTGATCTATTTGTCTTGTAATGTTTGTTAAATTTTGACAGCAATGCATTTTACAAATGTATTGGAGCAGTGGCAGCATGTTGTCTGGTGGGGGAGGTTTTCTTTCCCTCTTGCCCCACATTCCTCCCCCCCACTTTCAAGCTCAACTTTTAGAGGTGGTGACTGGTGTGACAGGAAGTAACCTCTTGAGTCAATGCTGTCTCACAAACTGAAAATCCAGGCTGCGAGATATACAATACATTCCAGGACTTGAAGAGAAGAACTAAGGTGCAGAATGATTGTAGGGTCCACTGAAAACGCATATACAGGTATCTAATTGTAAAAATAACAATCACGATGATTGCGCTAAAATGGGAGAGCGAATGTGCTACAATGAACATTTACCATGGCCGAGATCACCACTGCTTCTACATCCAAGAGAGAAACTCGCTCACAGCTGGAATCCATCATTTGCTAGATGACGAAATCGAAAGGATAAGCATTTTATGAAAAGGAATACTATAGATTTTTGGGTGAGAAATTTTGAAATGTATGGAAATGTGGAAACTACACCAAGCATAGGAAACTTTCTTATTCTTATCTTGTTTTCTTATATTGAATTGCATTATGAATGGTAGAAGAACATGTGTACGCAATTAACAGCTCTTGAAACAAGTAATGTATTCCAGTTGTGTCTTGGCAGGGGAGAAAACTTTAGAGAAACATTAAAGAGTGATGTAAGATGCTTAATGGGAATTCAAAGTAAATGCAGAACAATACTTTATGATGTGCCAAGGAGGCAGGCTAAGAAAACACAAGGTCAAGGTGAAAAAGACAAGTTAAAACAACTACATCTTGCAGGTTATATAGCGGCCTCCATATAGGATACCATCTCAGAGCGCTTAACAGTGGCAGAGCCTGACTCTGAGCCAGGGGGAGGGGGAGATGGCCCTGAGCACGGTTGAAGAGGAAAGTTTTCAGGCGGGACTTTAAAGAGGAAGAGAGAGGGGACAATGATTGTGGGAGAGTGTTCCAGAGTTTTGGGGCATAGTGGCTGAAAGCGCGACCTCCGATGGTGGGGTGGAGGGTGTAAGGGACGAGCAGGAGGCCGGTGCCAGTCGAGTGGAGGCACCGGGTAGTGGATTGGAGAGTGAAGAGGTCAGAGAGGTAGGGAGGTGCCAGGGAGTGAATGGATTTGAAACCACAATTTGCACTTATATAGCGCTCTTCTCACAGGGTAGCATCTCGGAGCACTTAGCAGTGGCAGAGCCTGACTCCGAGCCGGGGGGGGAGATGGGGGGAGGGCGGAGGTGGCCACGGACGAAGAGGAAGGTTTTTAGGCAGGACTGGAAAAGTGGAGGGGGGCAAGGTGGAGGGATTGAGGGAGAGTGTTCCAGAGTTTCGGATCATAGTGGCTTAAAGCACAACCTCCGATGGTGTGTGATAACAACAGTTTTCAGGGGAAGTGGAACAGAGCCTGAAGAGAGAGACTGGTTGACCATGTCGGCCAACAGCAGGGGAGAGAAGGGAGAGTTGAGTGACCAGCAGCTGGGTGAGGAGGGGGTTGAGGTAGCAGGTGGAGAAATTCATCTGGGTGATTGTGGTTGAAAGGGAGGAGGGAGAAATGGGGCAAAGGAGTGTAAAGAGGGGGGAGTGGCAGGAGCCGTGACAGAGGGAGAAGGTGGTGTGGATGGTCTGGGTGAGGTGGAATGGGACATGGGGGAAGGGGTGGGGGGGAGGACAACTCAGCCAAGCAGATACTTTCAATCTTTGAGGCGAAGAAGTCTAGGATCTCTTTGCACTTGATGTTTGATGTGAGGATAGAAGGGGCTTGAGGGCGTGCACGGAGGAGATAATGGACAGTGTAAAACAGCGTCTTTGGATTGTTGTTTGCCTCCAGGATGACTTTGGAGTAAAAGTCAGTTTTGACCTGTGAAAGGGAGAGGCGGTAGATGCAGAGGTGCTCGAGCCGCAGCTGGCGGTGAATAGTGAGGCCGGATTTCTGCCATCTGTGCTCGAGCATCTGGGTTTGTGTTTTTAGTGAGCAGAGGTGTGGAGGAAGGGATAGGTAATAGCCCGGGTGGGAGGGGGAGATGGGGAGGGGGTTATTCTGGAAGGATGTAATCAAATGGGCTGAAGAGTCTTTTTATCTGTATCTCTCTTATGTCAGAGCAGTATAGAAATGAAATACAATATTTAAATCAATATGTGTACATTTATACTTATAATATACCATCTGCACTCTTCATAGAACAAGAGGAAACACAGTGGTGTACCTACCACAATGACAGAATTCTGAGCACCATCCATTATCACCCATTCATGAAGCAAGCACCATCTTAGATGCGTACAATGTGGGAGACATAAGTATTGTTGTGAGGGTGAAGCACTCGTGATTAGGGATCATCTGATATGGGATAGAAAACCATCAGACAGTCCCAACTGAGATGATGTTAATGTTGGTTTACTTTCAGACATACTTTCTAATACAACAATAACAACTTGCATTTATATAGCATCGCTCACACAGGGTAGCATCTCGGAGTGCTTGAATACTCTAGAAGAGCTATGTGGAGAAGTAACTTGCCACTCGTGTTATACTCGAGTTGTGAGGAGTCATCTACCAATTAGTTGCACTATGCCATCTCCCAAGTGAAATGCAGCTCCTAATATCTATTATTGGGAACAAGCAACAATACAAAACTCTGCCTCCTCCATTCTTACCTGCGCCAAACTATGCTCCCGATTACCCCAGTCCTTGCCAATCTGCACTGGCTGCCTGTCCCAGAGAGGATTGATTTCAAGATCCTCACCCTTGTATTCAAATCCGTCCACTCCTCTGATCTCCCTACCTCTCTGACCTCCTCTCTCCTCACAACAGTGCCCATTGCCTTCGCTCCACCGGGTCTGGCCTCCTCCTTGTCCCCCGAGTCCTCCACCCTCGGCGGCCGTGCCTTCAGCCCCGAGGCTCTGGAACTCCCTTCCTCACTCCCTTCGCCTCGCCCCCTCTCTTCCTATTTTCAGGTATCTTTCTTTTCAACCGCGTCTTTGGTCACCTTCCTCCCCCTGCCCCCGGCTCAGCCCTGGGATCTGTTACTGTGGAAGCGCTCTGAGACGCCGTCCGACATGGAGGACGCTATATAAATCCAAGTTGTTGTTGTTGGTAACTACTCTGGAGTACTTGCACAAACAGTAGGCAAAGAAGGAATATCTCTCATGAATGCCTACACTTTTGTGACAGAGACGTTAGGGTTCATACTCCAACATGAAGGCATGAATGCCTTTAATTTTCTTTAGGAATAGTTCTAGACATTCATGATGGATGGATTCAGATACTTCATTGATAGTCAGTGTTTCATGTTCATGTAGAACATAAACCTACAAACTATCCTTCATATGTTACTTAACATTTAAACTCACCTTCATTTCATCAATCCACTAATGGTATGTGGCAGAACACAGGTGTGACTAGTTGACACATGTGTCAGCACCAGTTCTGCCCCATCACCGAGTTCTGCATATGTCACAGGGGGCACACCCTTTGAGAATGATTAACTCTATGCACCAGACACTTTTGGCACTGATACAACTTGAATTATAATAATAATAATCCTTGCATTTGATATAGCGCTTTTCATGTCTTCTAGAATATGCTGCACAGAATATGCTGTGAAGTGAATTAACAGTATATTTGTGGGCGAAACCCGGCAACCAACTGAGCACAGCACAAACAGTCGTGGATTGAAAATGACCAATTTATTATTGTTTTGTTTTTGGAGGGATTATTATTAGGCGTGTGGAGTAAGGAAACTTGCCCAAGGTTTCGCTCTGCCTGGAATCAAACCCAGATGTCTCGCTTGCAAGGCGAGTGCTCTAACCACTGAGCTACAGGACTCCGATTACAATTGGTTGCAAATACAGAATTGTTTGCAAGTATAGGCTTGAATGCCTGCAGTTGATTATGGGGCCCGCTGAGTAAGACAGAAACATATCCAACAAGAAGATATTCTGGATTTCTTTTGGCCAGCCGGGTGTCTGACACATGCGGAAACTCATTATCATGCTTAAGGGGATTCAAATTAGACTGTCTCCTACACAAGGAAATGTCTGTGTCTAGAAGATGAAAGGAGTTTGGACTATTTGAACTCACCTAGTGCATCTGCATCCAAGGAACAAATTCTACATGAGTCCATATTGATGTTTTGGTCAGTATCTGACACTTGTAGAAATCTATCACCATGCTTATGCTTAAGTGTAATCAAACCAGACTAAGAGCTCAACATATATAAGCCATTTACATGTGGAAATTTCGTTGTTAACACTACCACACAGTAAATTATCAGATTCACTGAAAGATTCTGTAAGTATGACTGATTCAAGGAAGAGGCTTGGATTATTTTCCACTTCTGATAAAATTGCCAAGCTTTGTGGGAACGGACCTAATGGAGATCCCATTATTGTCTCACATCATCAAAATGGTATTACATTTTCTGGCTAGTCAATATCCAAATTTACATGCTTTCCATATATTTCCAGCACCACCTTCTCTCATTGAACTTAATATTCATTTCAATTAATTATTTCTTTAAAATACTGTCCTATACCAGCTAGCGTATACTGTTCAAAAACATAGGAAAGAAATTATATTACTTTGACGCGTATCTTTTTGATTGTGCGGTCACTTTCCCTTCTCCCCAGCTCCTCCCCCACCCCCACTAAGCATCTGCTGTATGAATCATTTTGAAAAGTCATCATGATGTTAAAGACACTTTTTTAATGTAAATTGTTGTCATAAAGCTTAATTCAGTAAATGAATGTTCAAGTGTTTATTTTTGTCTAGGGAGAAAAGGGAGAGTCTGGTGATTCAGGATCCTTCGGGCCCAGAGGATTTCGAGGGCAGCAGGTGATTTCCAATTAAATTCATATTTGTACAACATGAGCTCTCAGTATATCTCCTGGAACCTCAGCAGGAAATCACTGGCATATCACAATATTACTAGTGGTCTCCAGGCATCTCTCTGTACCAGCGTTTATAGCTTACAACTTCTAATTTTCTGTCTCTTTAAATTTTAGGGATCCAGAGGAATAATTGGATTGAAGGGAATAAAGGGAGAGCAGGGACTTCCAGGAGTTCAGGTTTGTAAAACTGTTAATATATTTAACTAGCTGTACCCGTTGGCATGCTTTTCGGTATGTATCACAGACTTCGCCATCAATGGTGGTAAGATCCTTATAGCTTGTTGGGTATCTCACAGTGTGCAGCAAAAGCCTTAGGAAGTAGCATTCAGAGTTGTTTGGATACACCCTGTACACCCTGGTTGTACACCCTGGCGAGCGTGTCACTGGACTTGACACCAAGATTGCCTTCAGCCGGAGTACCTTGAACTCTTCACTTCCACTTCTTGGTCTGGGAGTTCCATGTGAAATACTTTGGGACCTCACAGTAAAGAACGATTCTTGCAAACTAGTCCTGTTGGAAGAATGCAGTAATCTAGTTTTGGGAGGTTCAAGTGAACATTCCCGAACATTCGTTTCTGTAAAAAACAACCTTTGACCGTTTTCAAGATGAACCTGAAGATCTTGGACCACTGGATGTTGATCATGTATGTGGAAGCTCAAAGTTCTTCAGATTGCTTCATTGGTGCTCACATATTGGCTCATCTGGTAGTATGTTACCTCGTCTCTTTCGGCTTCCTCCCTCTCGAGTCCAAATAGAGTATATGCTGACACTAGGTTCCTCATTCATCAGCAGTTATTAAATCTATTAGAGAGAAAACACACTGCTTCTAATACCATTTCTGTAAAAAAAAGTAAAGCATAAAATCTTGTAAGAAGAATTACATCCTGCTCTAGCAATATAAAGTCCAACTTCAAGTAACTAGATTGAAGTCTTCCTATTACACTTTGGCTCCCATCAACATCTTCTTTTCTGCAGGCCCGACATCCTCAACCTTCCCGGGCTCTGACTCAGACTTACTGAACCCATGCCCAACTTAGGCGTCGGGTTCGATCCCCAGCTTTCCTTTCGACCCCACATCTGTTAATTGACCAGGACCGCTTTTTTCCACCCCCGCCCCATTGCCCCCCTCCATCCATGCCTCACACCCACAGCAGCCGAAAGGATCGATCGTGTCTTTGTCACTTCTCGGCTGGACTTTTCCAGTGCTCTCCTCGCTGGTCTCCCCAGCTCCGCCATGCACAAAATACAATTAATTCAGATTCCACCGTCCGGATATTAACCCGCACAAGACTCCATAAACCAGTCTTTGGCAGGCTTCACTGGCTCCCAATTACTGAACGGATCGACTTCAAGATCCTCTCACTCGTTTTCAAATCTCTTCATGCCCTCACACCTCCCTACCTATCCGATTTGCTTACCCTCCCACTCCACCGCTTGCTGCCTCTGCTTGACCGACTCTGGTCTCCTGTTTACTCCTCGCCCCCTCCGCTCCACCATCGGCACCTGTGCTTTCAGCCACTACGCCCCAAAGCTCTGGAACTCTCTCCCTCAATCCCTCCGCCTTGCCCCTTCCCTCCCCACTTTCAAATCCTGCCTAAAGACCTTCCTTTTTTATCGTGTTTATGGTCACCTCCCTGCTCCCTCTCCCCCTGGCACGAGGTCAGATTCCACCACTGTCAAGCTTTCCGGGTCGCTACCCCATATGAAAGGCCTATATAAATACAAGTCGTTATAATGATACATGTACCTCACCATACTGCTGTGAATATGTGCAGCCTATCATAATTCTATGAATATCCAAATGAGGGATTGCCTTGAGCTGATTTACATTTATAGGCAAAAAAAAGTTTATTCATATTATTGTAAGTTTGGGAGGAGGAGGAGTGAAACAATCCATCACTGTTTCATCTCACCCCAAACCCAGTTCTTTCATATTGTTTTGATAATCGCCTATTTTGAACCTGAACGTGATAGCTAATCAAAGTTCACTGGTTATAAAGTTTAGAAATTTCTGTTCAGAATCTTGGGTGACGATTTGCCCTGAAAAGTGGTTGCTCACCAATAGAGTTTACCTGTTCCAAACAAATAGCTTTACTTTCACAAACACTTATGTCCATGGTCTACTAATACTAGGTGTAACTGCAAAACCAGATTGCGACAGAAAACATCTATAGGAAATAGAGCCTTCAGACATGTGAGAAAATAAAATGAGAATCCTGTTAATTTTTAGTTCAAGAGATTTATAATCCACTTATCCTTTGCATATCCCACTGGGATATCCTTCGTGAAGGATTTGCAAATATAGAATCCTGCTAGTAACATCTACCAGCAGGAACTCTGCTCCAGTGGGCCCCGAATCAGATACCTTCAGGTAAATGTGAGAGAACTATCTAATTACAGGATGCAGTGTTTAATAATCCTTTGTAAATCCGTCTGAAATTTGTCACCACAAAGTAAGTAAACATTTGATGCAAGTAAAAGTATTTTGAATTTTACAGAATTCATAGCTGAAAGGAGTGGGGTTAAGGGTTTCTAAAATCTTCAAGGCAATTCAGCCAACAACCCTTGTTGCCTGGTGAAAGAAGACTTTGGCTACATAAGTTCTGAAACAGTTAAGATTAATTGTTAAGTGACTATAGAAGAGGAAGGAGGAATTTTCCATTCCAGGAACTTAGCAGCCTTCAAAATGAGCCAAGTATTATGAAGAGAATTCTTGTGGAAAGATAACAGTGGAGATTAATGAATAAAAACAATAGTAAGCTTGGCAGTGCACATCGTAGGTAATTGTGAGATATTTATCGCCATGTGGGTTGAACAGTCATGAACCTTGATGTGCAGATCATGCATGGCCCACTTTGTGCACAAAACAAAACAAAAATGGCATCAGGGGAGGGGAAAGGTCTTTTAAGTCCAACAATGAAACTGTTATGAGACAATGAAAGAGCAACAAGAGCAAGCCTCAACTTTCTGCCTTTTGTGGCGTAGTTGGAACTGGAACTGTAGACGTGAACCCATTTCCTGGTATTCTGTGTAATAGTAAAATGGAGTTCCAGCATGTTGGATCACACCATTATCCAACAATTATTTCATTCTGCGTTTCACCCACAAAATATACAGTGAATTCACTTTACAGTACATTCTGTGAAGCGCTTTGAGACGTCTCCAAGACGTGATAAGGTGCTTTATCAAATGCAAGGATTATTATTATTATTGTAATATATTTATGTTGCAGGGTCCCCCTGGACTGCAAGCTTTTAAAGGATCCAAAGGGAACAATGGACTCAAGGGACAAAAGGTCAGTCAGACAATTTCTTATATCTATTGTTCTTATGCTTATAGAGCACAACTTTATTGAAGCATGGGATTATGAAGCAATTCAGGTGAAAGAGGATAAAATCATAAGCAGTTTCCGAACTTTTTTTTAACTATGTGACTTTTATTTTAAAAATACTGCAACTGACAATTGTAGTACGGAAACAGCAAAATCGTCCAGGTGTTTGCAGTATTACAGCCAGACACAATAGACACTGGAAGCGTAGTGTAAAATATCACCTTCCGTTTGTGAATCCATCTTGTTCTCATCAGTTATCTTCATTTTATATTCACAATTATTGCTGTTGTCAATAGTTTGAGGCCAACAGGTTGATATGACTCTTTTTTTACAAGTTGATAGGACAGATCACTGAGGTAGGAAGGAGCAAGGCCGTGGAGGGCCTTGAAGGTGAGGATTTTGAACTCCCTCCTCTGGGGGCTGGGGAACCAGTGGAGCTGGGTGGTGGTGATAGGATCACAGAGCCTCGTGCAGGAGAGGACATGAGCTGCAGAGTTCTGGATGGTCTGCTGCTTGTGGAGGGAAGAATTGGGAAGGTCGACAAGCAGGGAGTTGGCGTAGTCCAGCCTAGATGTAATAATTGTGTGGATGATAGGGAAGGGTAGAGGTAGGGAGGGCAAAGATCGTGAAAGGATTTAAAAGATAGGATATGGATCTTAAATTCGATCCTCTGGGGGATGGGGAGCCAGTGAAGTCAAGCCAGGACGGAGTGATCGGTTCATGGAGCCTGGTGCAGGAGAGGACGCGTGCTGCAGAGTTCTGAATAATCCGCAGCTTGTGGAGAGAAGAGGTGAGAAATCTGGCGAGCAGAGATTATCTGATATACAATTAACTGAATTTCACTGCATATCAAGACTTCCAAAAGGTGTTTGACAAAGTGTCAGTGCACATCGCCAAAAGATGATGCATAACTTAATTTTCCCCATGTGTCTAGAAAATCAGTTTTGTATATAATCTGTCACTCATTCACTCGAAAACTATGTGACAGGGTGAATCTGGAGTCTCGGGTAACAGAGGAAATCCTGGACCATTAGGACCCCGTGGATTGATGGTTAGTCCTTAACGCTCTTTAGTTTGTGAATTGCCCACAATAGCTTTTTATCAAGTTATATTTGTGTATTTAATGAACCTTTTTTGTTTGATTTCCCTTCTTGGTGAGGGTGGGCGGCGCTAGTAAGAACTTGGCTCAGGAGATTAAGATCTTTGATTAAATTCACATCCTGTAGATATAGGGAAGGAGTTTGATTGCCTTAATGGCCTTTTGATTATGGTTTATTAGATTACATTAGATTAGATTGATCACATTTGGGTGCTTGTTTTCAGAGTTTCACATAAAAGAGAAGCTGTATATGGAGGAGGTTAGATGTATAATCATCTGTGTGCAAGCGTGTGCAGCAAGTGTATGTGGGTGCCTGCACGTGTGTATGTGTGTGTGTGAAGGGGTGTGTGTAGAGGTGTATGAAAGAAAGGGTGGAAATACAGGTATTGACTAATAACTCTCACAGAGTGTGTTTGTGTGTTGGACGGGAGGAAACCTTTCAAGGTTAGTAGTGTAGGATAATGAAATCAAAGAAATTGCCATAGCTCCATTAGATACACATTTTGTTGGTTTTAGCAATATAATGCACACTACCAGTGATGTAAACTTTCATAACATTATGCTATTTCATCTCCGTTTAACAATTTATATATTTTTATAAATGTCTTAAATTACCACAGGGGTTGGATGGCAATGATATTGCTGGTCAACCAGGGTCAAAAGGAGAAAAGGTAACAAATCAGAGTTTATTGTTGTAGCTTTACATCTTGGCTATTGTCTCAATAACTAAATAATAATCAAACACTGTAATGACTATGCATTAGATACTGTAATGTCCCACACATAGAAGTGCTCTAATATAAGTTAAAATACATATGTAAAATAAGTATTTTTTCTGAATATTTGTAAATGTGACAATAATGAGTTTGTGTATGATATATCATCGTATTTATATTACGTAGAATTACACAGAATATACAGCACAGAAACAGGTCATTTGGCCCAACTGGTCTATGTCTGTGTTTATGCTCCATATGCTTCCTCCTGCCCTTCCTCAATTAAGCCTATCAGCATAATCTTCTATTTCTTTCTCCCTCATGTACTTATCTAACTTCCCCTTAAATGTATCTCTGCAATTCGCCTCAACTATGCCTTGTAGTAGCAAGTTCCACATTTCCACCACTCTCTTGGTAAAGAAGTTTCTTCTGACATCCCTATTTGATTTATTGGTGACTATTTTATATGTATGGCTCCTGGTTTTGGTCTGCCCCACAAGTGAAAACATCTTCTCTTTGTCTACCCTATTAAAACCTTTCATAATTTTAAAGATCTCTATTAGGTCACCCCTCACCCTTTTCTCAAGAGAAAAGAGTCCAAGCATGTTCAGCCTTTCTTGATAGGTACAACCTCGCTGTTCCAGTATCATCCTTGTAAATCTCCTTTGCACCTTCTCCAGTGCCTCTATATCCTTTCTTTAATGTAGGGACCAGAACTGTACACAGTAGTCCAAGTGTAGTCTAACCAAGGTTCGATATAAGTTCTATCCCTCTAGAAATGAAACTTGGTTTGCTTTTTTTAGCGATTTGTGTATATGTACCCCTAGATCCCTTTGCTCCTCCACCCCATTTAGATTCTTAATTTCCAGGCAGGATGTGACCTCCTTATTCCTCCTACCAAAATGTACCACCTGACACTTATCTATATCGAAATTCATTTACCAATTAAATGCCCATTCAGCAAGGTTATAAATGTCTTGTAATTTGTTGCAGTCCTTCTCAGTATTAACTACCACCCCCGCCACCCATTTGGTTCTGTCCGCAAATTTTGAAATTGTACTTTCAAAATAAATATAACAATCATTTTCATGATATAGGTTTCAATGTGTTTACAATGAAAGATTGCTTCATTACAGAATTCTCTATCGCATTCTAAAATATAATGAATGTAATTTATCTGTCGATATAAATAATATTTTTATAATGCTTCATCATGAAGCTTCAAATAAACTTTAGGTGAGGGTTTGGAGGATTGGTGCGGGTGGAATTCAGAAAATGATTTCTGAGATTTTGTACCGTCACTTGTCTTTAAAATTTTGCTGTAAAAAACCTAGTCAAAACTATTACCAGATTCAACTGAAAGGACAGTGTATTTGAATGAAAAGACATTGCACATTACTGGAATGAGAAAAAAATGAATGAATTTTGGAAACGTTTTCCTATTCCTGGACGTGTTGGTAATTGGAATTGCATCAGACGACATCTCTGGTGCCTAGAAATAAGGTCTCCATAACATGCTGCCACAGAGTGGCAAGATTCCCATTAGCGACCGGGTTGGTCTCAGTAAATCCCATTGCAAAACTATTTTTTCAGCCACCAATGTTCCCAACAGATAAGAAGATGAGGCTAATTTATTTTGTCATTTTGTGATTCAGGGATTACAAGGATTTCCTGGCTATCCTGGTGCACAGGTACTGTTACATTTATTAAAAAAAAAGACATGCTTCTCTTTTGTTGCTTGCCTGTTTTAAGCTCTGTGTCAAAGAAAGTCTCACATTATCTCTCTACATTAACTTATATTTTGTACCTTTAGGGACTGGATGGTGAACCCGGTACTTCTGGCGAAGACGGATCCAAAGGAGCAAGAGGACGCAGGGTAAAATCTTTCATATGTTTTAAAAAAAAATTTATTACTTTAAAAAATAAATGATTTCTTCTCTCAACCTCTAAATCTGTAACAGAACAGATATTTGGGTAATAGAAGTATTAAGGGGCCTGGCGAAAGGGAAGGTTATTGGGATTAAGAGATCTGACAAAACCTGGTGGAACAGGCTTGATGGTCTGAATGGCCTTCTCCTGTTCCTGTTGTCCAATATTCCTAACAAAAAAAACTACTTTGAATTTTAGAGAACATTGTTCCCACTTTAAACCATGATCACAAAGAGGACAACAGATCACTGCAGCGTCCCAAACAAATGTGTATTTCATGGGAGATCCCAGTGTAAAGTTTTCCACTATTTTTAAAGATCATCACATTAATGCAGTGATGTAGTTTAGACTCCCTAACTTTTTATTTCATTCTGACATGTGAAATTCAACAATTTATGGCCCACATTTACCGTTTAGAAAATCCCTGCAGTTTTTAAAGAATCCAATCAAATCACACAAACAGACGATTGGTAACGCAGGGAGAAAATTTGCAGGATAATCTGTGATATCACAAAGAAAGAAATAGTAATTTTGCTCTACATAATAATAGTTATAATATCCTGCCCCAACTTCTGTGGTACAAGCACATTTATACCCGATGTGAAGTGTCTTTAACATTGGTAAAATAACTGTAGAGTAACTTCACGTCTAAGACTACCTTGAATTGTTGAAGGAGCAAGAACTAGTTGCCTTTAATTCGAGTGTCTCCCTGCTATATTTTGCACATTAATTAAAAATAAAACCTGTAGAATCTTACACATTGTAAAAATAGAACATACAAGTGGCTTATGATGATTATTCCATGAGAGAACCCAGCTTAGGTTATTACTTTGTTGTACATAAAATGCACCTCACTCAGTGGAGTTCTGAGGTATTTCCAACTAACTTGCTTATGAAGTTTATGTTACCTGTGCAATGAACTGTGTCTCATATAATTCCCATTACATCTATTGTATTGTACAAAAGAGTAAACAGTTTGAAAGTTAACTGGCGGCATTGTTAAATGTTCCTTATTAACAACGTAAAACACACAGTCACTACACTTTGCAGTACATCCTGTGAAAGTGCTATACCAAATACAAAGATAATTATTAATAATAATACTTGCATTTGGTGTAGTGCCATTAACAATAATGGTGCTAATCTTAATTTGAAAACATGTGTTAGTGTTGGTATCAGTATGAGTAGTTGAAAAAACAGAATGCATTTCTGAATTTCATGGTATGCTATTTCTGCCATTTTAGGGTGATGCGGGCACTTCTGGTAATATAGGTAACCCAGGAGATGCTGGAGCTTTAGGAACCAGGGTATGTATACTGTACCATGGAGGTAGAAAATTATATGTTTTGCAAAACATTTCTCGTGATATGCTTATTTTTACTCCGCGACTATTTATATTCTGTGTAAAAATATGATCATACTTGGGTTTAGAGGAAAGGATTTCATTAATGGAAACCTAAAGCAAAGCAACAGTCCAAACTAAGACTTAATTATAACAGCCGTGCAGCAAAATAGACATTCTGTTTTGTTTTCACAAAACAAAGCACATTTGTCTCTAAAATTATTTTGGAGTGTTTTCTTAAGCTGATATTTTTCATTTTCATTTTCATTTTTTTCATTTTTCATTTTTTTCCATATTTTTTCATATTTTGTAAGGTTTATAGACCAAGAGAATATTTTTATCCTCATAAATCTATGAAATAAAATGAAACCTAACTTTTTAGAAATTAAAATATAGAATGATGGGAAAAGTAAAATGAACAGTATAATACAAACATTCGCAATAAGTAAGAATGCTCGTGTGATTGAGAAGGATGGAATAAGAGTGATTTGTAAATAGATCTACATGCAGATTTATTCAGTTTTATACAGGACAAACTCTGTTTTACTGTTCGACCCACAAAAATACCTGGTGAGTAATGACCACTTACTGTTGCGTGGCCAAAGATGAATAGCATTATTTCCTTTCAGAGTATGAAAGCTAAGCAATCAACTAAAGTTATTATGTTTCATTATGCGTGTTAACTCATAGGTGCACAGCAACGACAAGATTCGATTTATAGAGCACCTTTCACGTCGGGAGGACGTCCCAAGGCACTGGACAGTTGGGTCAGGACCCGAGCAGGGGGGAAATGGTCAGGGTGAGGGGACGGAAGGGAAGGGAGGGAGCGAGGAGGGGGTAGAGAGTCGAGAGGGGAGCTGAAGGCTCGGTCAAAGAGAAAGGTCTTGAGACCGGCCTTGAAGGAGGAAAGGGAGGAGGCGGCGAAGGCACTGGGGGATGGAGTTCCAGAGCCTCGGGGCTGAGAGGCTGAAGGCCCGACCACCGATAGTAGGGCGGTTGGGGCGGGAGATGTGGAGCAGACCGGAGCCAGAGGAACGGAGGGTACGGGCAGGTAGGTAGGGGGATAGTAGGTCGGAGAGGTAGGAGGGAGCAAGGCCGTGAATGGCCTTGTAGGTGAGGATGAGGATCTTGAATTCGATCCTCTGGAGGATGGGGAGCCAGTGGAGGTGAGCGAGGGTGGGAGTGATGTGGTCCCGAAGCCTGGTGCGGGACAGTACACGAGCTGCAGAGTTCTGAATGACCTGCAGCTTGTGGAGGGAGGTGGCGGGAAGGCCGGCGAGGAGAGAGTTCCCGTAGTCCAGCCTTGAGGTGATAAAGGTGTGGACCAGAGTTTCAGCAGCGTGAGGGGTGAGGTAGAGTCTGGCGATGTTTCGGAGGTGATGGCAGGCGGTGCCAGTTGTGACGCGGATATGAGGAAGAAAGGACAGCTCAGGGTCGAACAGAACCCTGAGGTTCCTGACTGGCTTTGAGAGGTGGAGAGTGCAGTCTTGGATGCTGATGCCATCAGCGCCTGAGGTGCGGAGGAGCTGACGCGAGCCAATCAGGAGGGCCTCAGTTTTGCGCACGCAGAATCTAGAGTTCAGAAATTATGAGCTCCAGCTTCTACAAATAGAAGTCAATCCTCAGGGGATTCATTTGCCAGGTCTATTTTCCAAATAATTACTGAGACTGTTCAATAGAAGTAGTATATAGTGAGTACTGCAATTAGGCAATTGGAATTTGTTTACATGTTATATACTTGCAATGGCCCACCATATTCTATGGCATTTATTATGATAATTACTGTTAATATATGTATCAGCCCATTTTTTCATTGCCTTTTGTTTTTGCATTAACATCCACTATATAGAAAAATGAAAAACAAGTACCTAACTGACTTTTTATTTCCTTATTCCAGGGCCCTAAAGGACCATCAGGAACTATATCTATGAAAGTATGTAGTTTCAGTGCAAATATAAGTATAATGATTTCATGCTAAAACCTAATTTAATCTCTGTTACCCAATCTTTACTTCTCTGTTTTTCTGTTCCAGTCATGTGAACTTATATCATATGTTCGAGATAATTGCCGTAAGTAATTTATTAAAACTATACATACCTTAATTACTTTGCAGCTGTCCTTAGTTCCACTTCAGTGGCTAAGTGCTTTACAGTATAATATAAAAGTAGAAGATATGATAGAGTACTAAGAGGATAACAAACAGTTTGTGGTTCATTCCTCCTTGTAACAAATTGAAGTGTGTAGGTGACATTACTGGAGCCTTTATTAGCATCTTCAAGAACTCTGATGTGTTTCAGCCTGTTATGCTTTGGGATATATAATAATAATAATCCTTGTATTTGATATAGCGCCTTATCACGTCTTCAAGACATCTCAAAGCGCTTCACAGAATATGCTACAAAGTGTATTGACTGTATATTCTGTATGTGCTGTATTATTCCAAATACAGGGTGACCTCAATTATAAGGCAACCTCTTTCCCAATTTTCATAGATTATTTGAGTAAAAGAGTAAAAAAAATGTTATATAGTAATTATAGAATAGTTAAAAGAAATTATGGAACATTAAAATGACTCCAATAGTGATAATGTTCTCCAAATTGTAAAACACAATTTAAAGTATTCTCTGTGGTTATCATGATATCACATTGTGCCAACATTTCACTCTTTCTCTAACCCGCTCTCTAACTCTTCTCTGGCTCTTTCCCTCTCTCTCACTTTCTCTGTCTTAAATTGGCTGGAATATTAACGCACAACATGCACAGTCACTCCACTCCACAGTATATCCTGTGAAGCGCTTTGAAATGTCCTCTTGATTTGAAAGGTGCGAGATCAGAGGCAAGGTTTACCGTTATTAACTGTATGACAGTACTGCATTGTACTACACTGTATGATCCTGTACTGCATCAAATACATGGCATTTTGCTGCAGAGTTCTCCGTTATATATTCCTATGGCAGGCATGATCTAGGTCAGATGAAACCAATTTTGTGGTGAATGGAGAAATTATTAGCCTGGGTAATAAGCCCAAGGACATTCCAAGATTTAATGTCTGCATTTTTTCTTCTAACCACAATGATCTGAAGATATATTTATTATTTTATGTTTATTTTTGCTTTCTTTGCAGCCTGTTGTTCATCAGGTAAGTACTTGTATTTTTTTTATTTCTCTTGTAAGTTTGCCTTGCTAAAGCCAAGCCTTTATATCTGTCTCATTGTTGTTCCGATAAATGATTCTAAACTACTTCTGTGCATTTGTGTCAGGAAGAAACGAGTGTCCTGTGTATCCCACCGAGCTGGTGTTCGCTCTGGACATGTCAGCGGATGTCACACAAGCTGCATTTGACAGAATGAAGGGCATTGTGGTTAATTTTCTCCAGGATCTTAAAATCTCTGAGAGCAATTGCCCTAACGGGGCTCGGGTGGCTGTCCTCACGTACAGTTCTACAACAAAAACATTTATCCGCTTTTCAGACTTTAACCGAAAGAAAAAGCTGCTAGAAGAAATACAAAACCTATCTTATGAGCGGTCAACCAACAGGCGGAATATTGGTGCTGCCATGAGGTTTGTTGCACGAAATACTTTAAAGCGCATTCGTGGGGGCATTCTTGTGAAGAAAATTGCTGTCTTTCTCGCAAATGGGCCATCTCAAGAAACCTCAACCATTTCTACAGCAGCTCTGGAGTTCAGCGCTTTGGACATTACACCAGTTGTCATTTCGTTCAATAACATCCCTGAAGTTCAGCGCGCTTTTGAGGTAAGTAAACTCCATATTTTGATATGTTCTGTTTCCAGTTGAAATTCTAAGAATGTTCTTTTAAGAAACAACAACCCACTTTTGGTCTTTATCTTGTAGTGACTATAAAGTGACAAATTGCTGGTTCCAATGATCAACCCCTTTTCAGGTCCTCTATCCTTTTAGGTATGGTTGTTGAGGGTCACAGAGACTTTGCTGACTGTATTGTCAGACGCAACCTTTCGTCCATTCTAATTTGTTTTTTGTACGCTCCTCTTAATTCTTTGAACTGGATGGAGTTTGTGCTAGGCAATGATGCAGTACATGGGCAGGCTGTCAGTGCAGGTAGGATAAAGACAGTTTTCCCCACTCAGCTGTTCGCTGTTGTGAAATGAGAAAAGAAAGGAGAGAGTGACACACTTTAGGAATCTGAGATTCAAAATTGGATTATAAAAATCTTCCAACAAATGTTTGGTTCTATGTTTAATCTATTTTCTATTTTTCCTGTGAAGGTCGATGACACAAAAACCTTTCAAGTGGTTGTTTTGCCAAGACAGCAGCAAGAGGCACGAGAGCGGTTACGCAGAATCCAATCGTGTACTTTCTGTACAGGTATGGTGTTCTAGACAGAGTCGTGTACCATTTCTCACATCGCAGAATATTTTCCGGAACAACAAACTTGAAAATAATTGATCATTTCAAGTATTGGTGGTCCTGTAGCTTAATGGTTAGAGCACTCGCCTCACAAGCAAGAGGACCTGGGTTCAATTACCGGCAGGGCGAAATGTTGGTGAAGTTTCCTTACGCCACACGCCTCTATTTATCTAGCAATAAGTAGGAACCCAGTTGTTAGTCCACACTCCACCCGGTTGTTAGGCACACTCCACCTTACTAAGCCAGTCCAAAACGTTGGCATTTTGTTTGACCGTCAACTATCCTTCCTCCCCCACATCCATGCCATGTCCCGCTCTGCCTTCCTCTCCCTCCTCAGGCTCTGTGACCGTATCACCTCCACATAGAGGATACAGTTCAAGATCCTGGTTCACACCTTCAAAGCCCTCCATGGCCCTGCTCCTCCCTACCTCTGCGAACTCCTAACCCTTACCAATCTGCCGGCTCTTTCTGCTCAGCAGGCTCCAGCCTGCTTCACGTCCCTTGCCTCACCCGCCCCACCATTGGCAGGCCTTCTGCCACTTTGCCCCCACCCTCTGAAATGCCATCCCGCAATCCCTCCGCCTTACCCCTCCGTTGCCTCCTTCAAGACCCATCTCAAGAGCCTCCTCTTCGACCATGCCTTCGATCACCCTCCTTTTATACCTTTCATCCTCCCCAATCCCGACCCCCAGCTCGCATCCGAAACAGTAATTGTCCAGTGCCTTGGGACATCCTCTTGATGTGAAAGGCGCTATACAAATGTAATCTTGTTGTTGTTAGTCGAATGGTGAATCGCTTTTCCAGGGATAATAATCCCTTCTAAACAAAATAATAATTTGGTCACTTAATCCACGACAGTTTGTGGGACACTGCTGTGTGCAATTGGCTGCTGTGTTTTGACCACATAATACAGTCAATTCACTTTACAGTATATTCTGTGAAGTGCTTTGAGACATCTAGAAGACGTGATAAGGTACTGTATGAAAAGCAAGGATCATTATTATTCTTTTTTTAAGGCAGGAGGATCAAATACTCTTTGGCAAATAATACTTTCTTTGCTATTGTGATGCAGAATGCTGACCCAGGGAAGGGCAGCAAACCAGGGTTGGATAAGGGAAATGTGAGAATTGGTGAATATTCTACAGTTCTGTTTAATTATATTTGGGAGAATCGAAAGCATTTATGCAAAACACTACAAATCTCTCTTTTCATTTTTTTTTTGCTTCAGGCATCCCAAACTATTTAACCAAACTGGTTCAGTTTTCAGCAGAAATCCACCTGATCTTACCTCACTGCTTTAATGAAATCTTTCAAATTGTTTTCAAATATTGGCATCCTACCTATTTTTAAATATAATTGACGGCAGCCATACAGATGAAGGCCTAGATCAAAGCTGTCATTTACTTCTAGTTCATAATACACAACTGATTGTAATTGATATCCATTTCAGAGAATTCAGTCTGATTGCTTCCCAATTGATAGTTCGCACATACTGCGCATTCTTCCGCAGTCTCACATGGAAGCTTGAGATTTTAGACTGTAGTATTATGCTTCACTTTTAGCCATTTTTCATGTTGAATTGATGCAATGAATGAAGCATAAAATTAGCTTTAAGGATGTTGAGCTCCACCCCTTCCATCCAAGAGCTGATTTTGGAACAGAATCCGTTCTGTGACTTTTGGAATTTCTAATCTTATTAGAGAATCAATAGTCCTTGCCAGGGTTCAACACACTCTCTCTTCCAGTCGTACTCTTAAACTAGGATCTATCTAAAATCACCCCATAAATAGGATTTACTGAGAACCACACATTATTATTTTAGAACATAAAAATTTTACTTTATTCGTCTTTTGCAGATATGTGTGAACCAAACCCACGATGCCAGCAAGTCCTCCGCCCACCTCCGATTCCCATCAGCATGGACATAGCTTTCATTGTTGATGGCTCAAGCAATGTGAGATCTGTAGACTTCGAAAGGCTGAAGATCTTTCTAAGCTCGATACTCGATGAGTTTGTGACGTCCCGAAACCCAAAGGCTTTTGATAATCGTGCTCGAGTTGCTCTTGTGCAACATGTACCACGTGATTACGTGCCTAGGTCAGGCCAACAGCCTGTTCACCTGGAATTTGGATTTTTTAACTTTTCAAGTAAAAGTACAATGAAGAGGTACATCCAGCAATCCTTCGATCAATTAGACGGCTCTTCTGGTGTTGGCCATGCTATTGAATGGACTTTGAACAATGTCTTTGCAACTGCGCCAACCCCACGACGCTACAAGGTTCTATTTCTACTAGTTGCAGGAGACACTAGTGTTTGGGACAAAGCCAAGTTATTGGCTGCGTCACTACAAGCGCGATGTCAAGGGTTCTCTGTCTTTATATTCTCTTTTGGGATGGATACTGTGGAGACTGACTTGGAAGATCTTGTTAGTTTCCCTTTTGACCATCATCTAATTCGACTTGGTAGACTGCTTGAGCCTGAAATGAGATACGCACACAGGTTTACTCGGGCCTTTTTGAAAAGTCTGACACGTAAGTGCAACATTGGAGAGCATGACAATTTACATGACAAGTTACATAAAGTACCATTTTATTGAAAGAGCAAAGTTGTACAAAAGCTAATAACATTTAAATCTTTTTTTTCTCTGGCGTAATCCGGAGCAATGTTACTCCAGATTATCATCAAATTAGTTTGTCAATGTGGTGTATGGGGTGGTTCAGAGACAGTAATTATAGTTTATATGTTTTTTTGACAATTTGATATTTATCAACAATAATTATTATTATTCGGCAAACATTTCATCCTACTGACCTGTGAACCACTGACTTCATGATGGTAAAACACTGAAGCCTGCTCAATTAATTACTACATTATTCCAGATTTTACAGCATTTTGATACTGGCCAAACTACTCACTTGCAGAAAAAATATTATTACTATTATTATTTTATAAATGTAAGTAATGTTTCACTGCATTTAAAATATTATCAGATCTTCTTTTTGCCACATCTGTAAATATACATCTGTATACAGTCAAAAAAATATACACTAAAACACAAAAATGGTTTACGAAAACATAAAGTATTTCTTTATTCTAGATATCCCATGGAAAATGTAAAACATTAATTCAGTCAAATGTGAAGCTAACAATTTGATATTTGACATCCAAAAGGGATTAGCAATACTGAACTATACTTACAAAATCAGAAAATATATTAATAGACATTTACTTTGTATAGTTGGGATCAACGCATATCCACCTCAAGCTTTACGAAGAGAATGTCAGTCAGCGAGATTATTCCAGGGGATCACAAAGGTATCAAATGCAATTTCTGAACAAAAAAGGTATGTTTTTTTATTATCTGCATCACTATTAATATTACATTTAATCCTATTTGAACATCTCACCGGATATCTGGTTGAATTCTTGGATACTGCTAGCTTAAACTTGTATTCATCCATAGGGGAACTGAGGAAGAAGGGAGAGAGTTTGAAGAGGAGGAGTTTGAAGAGGAGGAGTTTGAAGAGGAGGAGTTTGAAGAAGAGAAATTTGAAGAGGAAGAATTTGAAGAGGAAAAAGAATTTGAAGATTCTGAAAGAGAAACAGAAATGTCGACAGATAATGGTTACGGTAGGTATGATGAGAAATTTGTTTGCCAAACTGAAACAAACTTAATTCAAAATGTAATATAAAACTTACTCTATTTGTGCATGATTCATTTATTTTCATGTGTATTCACTTTCAGGCGAAATGGTTGACACTGAAAAGGAAATGCAGAGTGAAGGTAATTGGAAATTAGTACAAAACTAATGTTGGAAGTGTTATTGACCTTGATCTTGGAATCCTGTATCCTAGTGGTTAGAGCACTCGCCTTGCAAGCGAGAGGACCTGGGTTTAATTCCTGGCAGGGCGAAACGTTGGGCAAGTTTCCTTACGCCACATGCCTCTCTGTCGCCTAGCATTCAGTAGGAACCCGGCTGTTAGTCGATTGGCGGATCACTTTTCCAGGGGTAATAATCCCTTCCAAAAAATAAATAAATAATAATAATTTGGTCACTCAATCCATGACTATTTGTGGGACACCGCTGTGTGCAATTGGCTGCCACGTTTCGCCCACAAAATATACAGTCAATTCACTTTACAGTGTGTTCTGCGAAGCGCTTTGGGACGTCCTCCCGACGTGAAAAGCGCGATATCAAATGCAAGGATTATTATTATTATATTCTGTGAAGTGCTTTGAGACGTCTCAAAGACATGATAAGGTGCTATATCAAATGCAAGGATTATTATATAAATGCATAGTCGCTCCCGAAATACACTGTGAAGGTAAATGCAATAATATATTTGAAGAATTAATATGAATTACAAATTGAAATGCGATTGCTGGATAATTTTTTATTCAGGTCAATGAATAGAATGAATAGTTTGGTTATATGCCAGGACTGCATATCTTTGTCACAATTTTCCTTAAAATAATCCTTGCATTTGATCCTTGCATTTGATATAGTGCCTTCCATGTCAGGAGGGTGTCTAAAAGCACTTCACACGATATACTGAAAAGTGTAGTGACTGTGTATTTTAATAATAATAATAATAATAATTTTGCATTTCACATAGGGTCTTATCACGTCTTCGAGGTGTCTCAAAGCGCTTCACAGAATATACTGTAAAGTGAATTAACTGTATATTTTATGGGCAAATTTTGTATGTGAATACCATGCTATACACTGTTATCCACTGGCTCCCCATCCCCCCCAGTGGATAGAGATCAACATCCTCGTCCTCACCTTCGAGGCCTTGCTCCTTCCTACCTCTATAACCTGCTAACCAACCCCATACCAACTTGTCCGCTCCCTCCGCTCAGCAGGCTCCGGCCTGCTCCATGTCCCCCACCTGGCCCGCCCCACCATTGGCGGTCGGGCCTTCAGCTTCTCTGCCCCCACCCTTAAGAACTCCATCCTACAATCGCTTTGCCTTGCTTCGTCCTTTGCTGCCTTCAAGATCCTTCTTTTCGGGCGCGTATCCGGCCATCCTCCTATCCCTACCCTCCTCACCCTCCACCCCGCCTGATCCTAAACCCCTGCTGGTGTTCAAATCCCTAACTGTCCAGCTCCTTGGGATGTTCTCCCGACATGAAAAGCGCTATACAAATGTAATTTTGTCAGGAGCGGAGTCAGGAGAGTGCAGGGGGGTACGTGATGGGGTGGTGCGATTCACAAAGTGACGTCGGCGTGTCACCTCTCCTCCCACTCCCTCTTCGAACCCCTCCAGTCTGGTTTCCGCTCTGCCCACAGTACAGAGACTGTGCTTGAAAGTCATAAACGACATCCTCTCTATCTGTGACCAGGGCTCCCTCTGCCTCCTTGTCCTCCTGGACCTCTCCGCCGCGTTCGACACAGTCGATCACGCCATCCTCCACCACCTTTCCTCCATCATCCACCTCAGTGGGACCACACTCGCCTGGTTCGAGTCCTACCTCACAAACCACCAGCAGTACATCTGCATAAATGGCTTCTCCTCCCGATCTCACCCGGTCACCTGTGGGGTACCAAGGATCCATCCTTCGCCCCCTACTCTTTCTGATCTACATGCTTCCTCTTGGAGATGTCATCCGTAGACATGGAGTACATTTCCACATATATGCGGACGACATCCAACTCTATTTTTCCACCTCTCTTTGCGACCCCCAGTCCCCTGATGTTCTGTCAGCCTGCCTGTCAGATCTCAGGGGCTGGATGAGTGCAAACTTCCTTCAGCTAACGTTGACAAGATGGAAGCCATACTCTTTGGCTCTCGTCAACATCTAAAATCTCACGGTTCTCACCTCCTCCACCTACCTGACCTCCCCTTAAAACTCTCCGAACCCGTACGCAACCTAGGCGTCAGGTTCAACCCCCAATTATCCTTCCTTCCCCACATCCGGTCCCTCACCAGCAACGCCTTCTTCCACCTGCGACGCATCACCCGTCTCCGCCAATACCTCTCTCCAAAAGCCGCTGAAACCCTGGTCCATGCCTCTGTCACCTCTCGGCTGGACTACTCTAACGCCCTCCTCGCCAGCCTTCCCTCCACTACCATTCATAAAATCCAGTTTATTCAAAACTCTGCCGCCCGCATTCTCACCCGCACCAAACTCTGCTCCCCGATCACCCCAGTCCTTGCCAGACTGCACTGGCTGCCTATCCCAGAGAGGATCGACTTCAAGATCCTCACCCTTGTCTTCAAATCCCTCCACTCCTCTGCACCCTCCAATCTCTCTGACCTCTCTCCTCAAAACAGTGCTCGTTGCCTTCGTTCCTCCGGGTCTGGCCTCCTCCTCGTCCCCCGAGTCCTCCACTCCACCCTTGGCGGCCGTGCCTTCAGGCTCTGGAACTCCCTTCCTCACTCCCTTCATCTCACTCCCCCCTCTCTTCCTATTTTCAGGTCTCTGGTGAAGACCTTTCTTTTCGACTGCGCCTTCGGTCACTTTCCTCCCACTCCCCCTGGCTTGGTCCTGGAATCCGTTACTGTGAAGCACTCTGAGACGCCTTCCGGCGTGGAGGGCACTATAAAAATCCAAGTTGTTGTTGTTGTAATTTCTTGTTGTTATACCTGAGCAAGCAATGATGATAATAACTGAGTATACAAAGTGGGAAAGTGTTCCATTTCCCCACAACTAACAGCCCCTCACCATAATGGGTACTAAACTCAACAACAGAAACGGGATTTCCGAAATTCTAGGGATTTGTAGTCTTAGACTTTTCCTTTTTTCCCGATCATTTTTTTATTCATCCCAACTTTACAGTGTATTTCTTGTGGTGTGAATACTGAATGTTCTTTAGTTTTTTTTAACTATGGAGATGCAGTATAAATTTAGCTGGGCCTATTCTTGCTTAGTAAACCTCTTGCCTTATTTTTGCTTCCAGATGTGTGTGCACTGAATCAAGATGAAGGGGCTTGCCAGGATTATGATCTTAAATGGTACTTTGACAAAGAGCTGCAAGTTTGCACACGATTTTGGTACGGTGGCTGCAAAGGAAATGGAAACAGATTTGACACTGAAGAGGAATGTGAAGCCTTATGCCTTAAGTCTTACTAGTGCTCGAATGTGACATTTTAGAATTGTGAGGAAACAGATGGAGACGGCTGCTTCAGAAAGAATTAGCATTTGGAGGGGGAAAAATTGCTGATCTGCTATTTTATACAGTTACTTAAAACTACTGAATAGAGTTCTAAATGTCAATATGTATTCATTTCAAATAAATTCATTTCTCATGTGATTGAGGTATAACAAAAACATTCTACCTTAGATCACCACTGTGAACACTGGCAAATTGCCTCCCAATTTAGACAGAATTCACTCCATGGAAACCCTGTATGTTGTACAGCCTTCATGAAACTTCAGCTCCAGTGAGATCTCGGGTCTGAGATGAAGACATACAGGGGTTTCTGCGTAGAAATCAGAATCACTTTGCAGGCACAGGAAGAGAACAATTTTCAAGCTTCAATGCCTGTTAAAAATACATGCTAAAGAGGTGGTGTTTGTTCCATTTGAGCTAATTTTATTAACCCAGGCGCAAAGTAGTCCTGGTCAAACCATTTATGGACCGTTGTGGAACATAGAACATAAGGATTAGGAGCAGAAGTAGGCCATTTGACCCCTCGAGCCTGCCCCGCCATTCAATAAGATCATGGCTGATCTATTCTAACTCCACCTACCCACCTTATCCCCATATTCCTTAATCCCTTTATCCACAAGAAATCTATCAATCTCAGTCTTGAATATGTTCAAGGACTGAGCATCTACGGCCGTTTGGGGTAGAGAATTCCATAAATTCACTACCCTCTGAGTGAAGAAGGTCCATTAATGTATCAACAAATTTGGAATTTCTCCCATGTTCCTTTTGCTATTGAAAGTTCAAGATTGAAAGCAAAGATCTTTCAGTGAGTTTTATATCTGTTTACGTTTTAGAGCATTCTCACTTATAGTTTATCATTTGATCTGTCCTTTTTGTTTCATTAGACAATTAGAATGACCGAAAAAGAACCAATTATCAATAATTAACAGAGGCAACCTTGCTTAGATAAAATGTTCTTGTGCTGTGTATGGTAAACAGCTCTTTCTTTGTTTTTCTTCAGTGTCTAGTGTCTATTAACACAGATTTAACTTTATACAGGTTCATTGACCTGAATAAAAAAATTATCCAGCAATCGCATTTCAGTTTGTAATTCATATTATTCTTCAAATATTATTGCATTTACCTTCACGGTGTATTTCAGGAATGAGTACACATTTATATAAGAAGAATAAGAATAATCCTTGCATTTGATATAGCGCCTTATCACATCTTCGAGACATCTCAAAGCGTTTCACAGAATATACTGTAAAATAAATCAACTGTATATTTTGTGGGTGAAACACGGCAGCCAAGTCCCACAACAGTTGTGGATTGAAATGTCCAATTTGTTTATTTTTTTGAAGGAATTATTACCCCCAGAAAAGCAATCCGCCAATCAACAAAAATGGTTTCCTATTTACTGCTAGGTAAACAGAGACGTGTGTCATGAGGAAACTTGCTGACATTTCACCCTGCCAGGAATCGAACCCAGGTCTTTCACTTGTGAGGCGAGTTCTCTAACCACTGAGCTACAGGACTCCATGTTACAGTATATGATATATGTTACAGTAAAGTTGTGAAACCATAAAAACACTGAAATTTGGAGTCAAGGACTTTGTGAGAAAGTGATCATTTCATCACATTGATAATCTTGCCACTTGTCACAAATAAATAACACATTATCAAAATTAATATTTTATTCACCATAAACTTTCATGTGACATTGCATTCACTGATGAGTCAAATGTCCATGTGTTAATGCAAGTGAGACTTCCATGACACCTGGAGTTGCATTTTAACTCTCATGCACCAGGCTCCGTGACCCCATCACTCCCACCCTCGCCCGACTCCACTGGCTCCCCCATCCCCCAGAGGATCGAGTTCAAGATCCTCGTCCTCACCTTTAAGGCCAACCATGGCCTTGCTTCCTCCTACCTCTCTGACCTGCTGACTCCCTACCAACCTACCCACTCCCTCCGTTTATCGGGCTCCGGCCTGTTCCATGTCTCACGCTCGAGACATGATCTAGACGAGGACATTGAATGTAACGTATCTAAATTTGCAGATGACACTAAACTAAGTGGGAGAGTAAGCTCTGAGGATGATGCAAAAAGATTGCTACGGGATATAGATAGGCTAGGGGAGTGGGCGAGTAGGTGGCAGATGGAATTTAATGTGGGGAAGTGTGAAGTTATTCACCTAGGTAGAAAAAATAGAAAAACAGATTATTTTCTAGAGGGGGAGAGTTTAGATAGTGTTAGTGTGCAGAGGGATTTGGGTGTCCTTGTACACCAGTCTCAAAAAGTTAGTTTGCAAGTGCAGCAAGCAACTAAGAAGGCCAACGGCATGTTAGCGATCATTGCAAAAGGTTTAGTGTACAAAAGTAGGGAAGTCTTGGTGCAACTGTATAGGGCCTTGGTGAGACCGCACCTAGAGTATTGTGTGCAGTTTTGGTCTCCTTATTTAAAAAAGTACATACTTGCCCTAGAGGGGGTGCATCGTAGATTCACCAGGTTAGTTCCTGGGATGAGGGGACTGACTTATGAGGATAGGCTGAATAAACTAGGGCTATATTCTCTCGAGTACAGAAGAATTAGGGGAGATCTTATTGAAATATATAAGATTCTTAAAGGGCTGAATAAAGTAGACACTGAGGGTCTGTTTCCTCTGGTAGGAGAATCTATAACCAGGGGTCACAGTCTTAAAATTAAGGGTCAGCCTTTTCGAACAGAGTTGAGGAAACATTTCTTCACTCAGAGGGTAGTGAATTTATGGAATTCACTGCCCCAGAAGGCTGTAGATGCTCAGTCCTTGAATATCTTCAAGGCTGAGACTGATAGATTTTTAAAAAAACAGAGGCATTAGGGGATATGGGGATAAGGCAAATATTTAGAGTTAGGTCTGAAGATCAGCCATGGTCTTATTAAATGTGGGGCAGACTCGAGGGGCGGAATGGCCTACTCCTGCTCCTAATTCTTATGTTCTTATGTTCTTATGACCTGCCCTACCATCAGTGGCCAGGCTTTGAGCCTCTCTGCCCCCACACTCTGGAACTCCATCCCATGGTCCCTTCGCATCGCTTCCTCCCTTGCCTCCTTTAAGGCCGTTCTCAAGACCCTTCTCTTCAACCGTGCCTTCGGTCTCCCTCCCACCTCTCTGTCTTCTCTCACCCCTACACCACCCCTCCCCCATGCTCAGGCCCCGACACCTGACTGTTGAGTGCTTTGGGATGTCCTCCCGATGTGAAAGATGCTCTATAAATGTAATTTTGTTGCTGTTGTTGTTGTAGCTTTGCTTTGAAGCATTTACAATGATTGGCCTGACATTTCTTCTGATCGCAGTTACACTTCGTAAAGCCTTGTCCACCACAAACAGACTGTGCAATCACAGCTTCATGGAGTGACACTGACTTCTCCTGGTTGATGCAGGTCTCTGTTGACAACTGTTGTGTGCAGAGGTCAAACTGGTTCCTGGAATAGCGACCCCTCAGAATGCCGGGCTACACTGCTGTCTTGTACTGGTCAGTGTCTGAATCTCTATTAATGAAAATACCAAGGATGTTCCTGGGATCCCTTCTACCCATGTCCACTGCTGGGATGGGTTACAAGTGTAACTGCGGTCAAAACAAATGTCCAACCAACCGTTGTAAATGGTTCAAAGCAAAGATAAAATGTAACTCCCAGTGAAATGTCACATGAAGTTTATGATTAAAATATTGTTTTTAATATTGGAGACATCACTTCCAGAGAGGATACAAGCAAGGCAAGTTCTGATCCCTGGAAAACTGGACAACAGCTCAATAACATTCATACTTTGAAATGCAGGCTACTTTATTGAAATTGCAAGTTAGAGAAAATGCACCTGGGTCTACATTTATTCGATTTGTCCACCATTTTAGAATATCCAGAATTTGGGAAATTATTCAATTCAATCTTAACATTAATGTTGGTTTTCTGTAGTTCTATAATTGCATAAAAAGGGTTTCAAAATGAAGGCTGTTTTTAAGAATCTCTGGACATTGAAATGGAGTATATATAAATAGTAGAATGACTAGAGTAAATCTACACGTAGTTGGAATTTCTAACCATAAATGATCAACAGGAACAAGAAGATAACAGGATAGTTTGCCCACAGTAGACAGGAGATACAGTATATGCATTTGAGTTGTTCTATTTGTGCTAACCCCCTAACTCCCTTGTATGGGATTGGTTAACACTCATTAATCTTTTGAGCGGCAGAGACTGAGCAGAGCTTATGCGAACCCCTTTCCTCACCAGGCTCCTTTAGCTCCTTATTCCTCAGCAGAATAATTTTAAGATCCTTGTTCTTGCTGCCTCTAAGGCCTTGTTTTTCAACCAATAAAATACTGTATATTTTAAACTCATACCAGTAAATTTATGTCTTCAAAAGTAACTGTGTCGTTGCAGGAAAATTACCTGCAGCCCAGTTTTTTTTATCGAGTTGTGAAAAATATTCTTCAATATAGTATTGCATATTTGTATTAATGTTACAATAATAATGTCCTGGCAACATTTTACTGATAATAAAGTTGCAGGAGGTCTTTGTTAATTCTGCACAAAAAATGTATACGTTTTGCAAAAGGATTTAAGGCAGAAATAAGATTTCAAAACTCCAGTCCTTGGCCCACAACTTGCCAGAAGGGTATTGTCACTGTGCTGGAGTACGGTAATACCAACAGCGATTAACAGACCTCACAGGAATAAACAATTCCGAGAACTTTAGTTTTGGCCCGTGTAATAAATTTGCAGTGGATAATGTGGGTCGATTAAAGCCTTAATTGAGCTAACTTTCTTCAGTTGAATGTCAACAAGACCGAGGCTCTCCTGGTTGGCTCCCATCAGCACCTCCTCACCTCGGGCGCTGACAGCATCACCATCCATGGTTGCACACTCCACCTTGCTAAGCCAGTCCAGAACCTTGGGGTCTTGTTTGATCCTCAACTATCCTTTCTACTCCACATCTGTGTCATGACCCGCTCTGCCTTCCTCCACCTCCGCAACATCACCCAGTTCTGCCACTGTTTCACACTGCAGGCCTCTGAAACCCTCATACACGCATTTGTAACATCCAGGCTTGACTACGCAAACTCCCTGCTTGTCGGCCTCCCCAACTCTTCCCT